CCACTTGGCTGATGGCCAAGACTGAGCCCATCAGCAGTGGCAGTAATGCCTCTGGGATAACATGTTTAAGAAGAGGAAAAAAAGAGGCACTGCACAGAAATTATTACTATCAGGGAATAGTGATAATATGTGAGAGGAACAGCTCTGAGGACACCAAGGTCAGTGGAGAAGGAGGGGGAGGAGGTAGTCAAGAGGCTAGAGCTGAGATTCCCCTGCAGCCCATGGTGTAGGCCATGGTGAGGCAACTGTGCCCCCAGAGCCCAAAGAGGACCACCAGGGTACAGAGATCCACCTGCAGCCTGCGGAGGAGACCCATGCCAGAGCAGGTGGATGCATCCAAAGGAGGCCCTGACACCGTGAGAAACCCGTGCTGGAGCAAGGCCCTGGCAGGGACCTGCAGACCCGTGGAGAGAGGAGCCCACACTACAGCAGGTTTGCTGGCAGGACTTGTGACCCCATGGGGGACCCACACAGGAGCACCCCATTTCATAAGGACTGCAACCCGTGGAAGAGACCCACGGTCATCCAAATTGTGAAGAATTGTAGCCCGTGGGATGGACTCACACTGAAGAAGTTCACAGAGGACTGTCTTCCCTGGGAGGGGCCCCACGCTGGAACAGGGGAAGGACTCCTCTCCGTGAGGAGGATGCAGTGGCAGAAACAACATATGATAGAGCAACCCCCACTGCCTGAGACGCTGGGTGGGAGGAGGTAGAGAATCAAGAACAAAGCCCAGGAAGAAGGGAGGGGTGGAGGAAGGTGCTTTTACTTCTCATTATCCTGCTCTGATTTTGATTGGTAATTCATTCAACTAATTTCCCCAAGTCAAGTCTGTCTTGCTCGTGACAGTAATTGGCGAGTGATCTCTCCCTGTTCTTATCTCAACTCACGAACATTTTGTTACATTTTTCTCCCCTTTCCAGTTGCAGAGGGGAATGATAGAACATGTTTGGTGGGTACCTGGCATCCAGCCAGGGTGGAACTACCACATGGACAGAGACAGTTTAAGCAGTTCCAACATTAGCATCTTAATCCTAGCCCTCCTGGCATCCTTTCTTTTGTGACAGTGCAACCACTTGGACAGCTAGATACCAAGAGCAAGATTGTCCCCAGTGCCCCTAAAAAGCAAAAAATCCCAGAACAAGACAAGGAAACCCTCAACTCTTCTTTTGGTTTTGTCCATTTTTTTTGGTTTTTTCCCCAGCCAGCTGAATATCCTGATCTGGCTTACCACACATATGTGCAAGTGCTTCCATCAATACACAGGAGAGGAATAACGAACCACGAAGTGAAAAGTGGCAGTAAACGCCAGTTTACACACTGCTAGATCAAACTTAAAATTGCAAACCTTTTTTTTCTTTTTTTTGAGGGGACTGTCACTGTTCATGTTTTTATGTTTGTGTTGCTTTTTTAAATTGACAGCTAAAACAACAACCACAATTCAAAAAACCCCGAAAAACTACTGTAGACTGTGAAAAATACTGGCTATCAAGAGAAAGAGGAACTATTTACTTAGTTTTATCTTCTTCGCTATCAGAAACAAAATGTAGAAGCATCTTTGAGAGTTCCCAAAAGGAAACTCTTTTCCTCTATTTCCAAAGGATATCAGACTCCAAAAGGCTAAAGCCACTGCATTTCTCAAATATCTTTGTTCATCTTGCTTGCTTTGCTTAGAAACAGCCTTGAACATTAATTTTAGGCACCAGAATCACAAGCTGTCATGTGTTTTTCAAGTCAGAGGGGAAAGGGAATTGTATTGAAAATAAAAACATTACCAAAGAAGAATTTGCTGAACATTCAGAAAGCAGATAATGCAGTAACAAAACACAGTACAGGGTATTGTAAGAAAATAAACAAATTGTCTACAAGAAGCCCAACAATCACAATCTTAAATCATTTGTGGATAGGAAAAAGTAACTGATAGCCAAGTCAAAACAAACAGCTTTAAGTAATGCTTCTGAAAAGATTTTTCAGCCTCAGAGTTTCAATGAAACATCTAAATTTCAGTCATTCCTGCATGGTCTCAGCAGAACAGTACTAATCAGGGATAAAAGAGGACCTCAAGTGGCAGAAGGGAGCAGCTGCAGATTATATGAACTGCTTTTCAAACCACTCCTTATTAAACAGGTCAGGTCATTTTAATTGCAGTGTCCCATGGACTCATACTATGCTCCCCGTTGAAGTGAAAATGTCTTTTCTCTTACGTTTGCTCCTTAGACATACTACTCTGACCCCAAAGGTTCTTTTGTAACACCCTGCAAACAAATGTCATTTTACATAGATGAGAAAAAAAAACCATTTCAGAGCTGTTAATGGATGATATTTAAAACCCTACGTTTGATTTATAGGGTCTTTTTCAACTTCAGCTTGAAACTTTAACTTCTCTTTGTTCATCATAAGCCAACTCTAAACAGCCAGGCTTAAGAGAACAGCTCAGAATTTCTGCCTGAACTCTAGAGATGCATCAGAACAACCAGCACCTCCCTGAGCTATGAAGCTCCCTTACAGTCAGCAGAGGACTCTGAATATTCTCAGCGTTCCGTTTCATGGAGACAGGTGGGAACTGGTTACCTGCACACTTGAGCTGCAACAACTTGTTTCAGTAACATAACTCCGATTCAAAACCAAAGGGGGTGTCTGACTTTCTCCCAGCTTCTAGCTGTGACACTGTTTTTGAAAATGGGAAATAATTTCAGGTGTTTCTTAGCCCAAGAGGTTTGAACTGCAGCTCCCAGATTTGGGAGTGCTCTGTGGCAACACCAAAGCCACTGCTCCTGAAGCTAAGCTTACAATACACATAGAAATGCCTCAGCCAAGACCCTAAAGCAGGAATATATATATATATGTATATATATACATATATATATATATAAAAGAGGAAACTTGGGTCTTCACCCTGCTGAAGAATACAGTACAATTGCTCTCAGAAGTTGCTCTTACACATGTCACCTAGAGTCCTTCTTTTTTATTCTGAGATACACACTAGTGATGTACTGCTGTACTGGATTCTCTTTCTGTACATTCCTAGAAACTTAATTGACCTGCTCATAGGAGTACATATTGTTTATACAGCTAAGAATATGTATTTATGTACATAGAATACATATTATTTAGAAGTTAGATACATGTAATCTAGTCCTTTTGCCACCAGAAGTTCAAACTTACAGAAAATGTCTATTTTATACATTTTATCTTTTCATGCTATCTCTGAATGCATGAAGATATCCACAAAGTTTTTCTTTCGTAACATGCTATCTTATGAAAGCTGAGATGAAGAGAGTATGATTAGAAAACAGCAAGATTAGTCACACACCCCTGCAGCATGACCTGTTCTAGCACATTTCTTTCATAGTTTGAAACATAGTGATTGTTCATTAGAGATATACTGCACATTTTTCTAAACCAGTCAGATAGTACAGATTAGATCAATGTGAAGATTTATGGACAAATAAAGTTTAGTTTTAGCTTCCCAATTCTAATCACAGTAGTAGAAGCAGTATGCAAACAGCTTATGGTCATAGTTTTTCTTAGTCGTTCTGGTAAAATAATGCAAATGTCAACAAATGTTTGCTACTAATTATAATTGCCTGTAGTTTCCTGATATTAAGCAACATAAGGTATGGATACACCGACATTAAATTGCACAAGCTACTCAGAAGAAGAGGAGAAAGTTCAAAGTTTAGATTTTGTCACTGTCCACATGAACCTTTCAAATGGGGTGAAACATTCTAACTCCTGTGAAAATCCATCCAAGTATGCTCATAGACTTTGAAGATTACACACAGAGATGACACATAATCTGATCTGTTATGCTATATGACTTCTTGAAAAATAATCATTCTATTTTTTAATTGTTAAAAAAGAAGGGGGGTTCAATCTTTTTATATTTATAATTTCTTGCATTTTACATTAATAAACTGCTCACATTACAAGGTATTTGCAGAGTTAGCCTGTGGAGAATGTTAAGTAATGTGGTAAGATAATGTTATGTTTTCTACAGGCTATGGAAAGGCAAAACTGTGGCTGGATATGTGTCAGAGCCAGCATAAGAGTATGCTGCAAAGAAGTGAGGATATTTAGAGCCACTGTGCAGTGTTGGTGACAGTGTCAGCTGCTGTTGCAGGCTGGGAGGAGGGAGAGACAAGGGCTACTGATGTTTGCAGAAGAAAACTGCTGAAAGTGCAAGAAAGTCACTCCCATCACTCCAAAACCTAATTTATCCTGTCCTGCTGGAAAGCCACAGAGAGAACAAGTTCAGAGGGCTTGTGAAGACACAGCATCTGTAGGTGAGAAATTAGTTCAATAATGGCTGGTTAATTGTCAGGCTTTCTAATAGCATCTGAGATGATGAATACATAACCACTGCAATTTTTAAATGCCTTCCAAATATTCTCTCTCCACAAAGATCAGTGAACAGTTTTAGAAACACAATCCTAAAAACAAGGGTGCAAAATGATAGGTGACCAGAATAAAGAGACAAGGTTGTTGATGACAGCAATTACGTGATGCCATAGAACAAAAAACCCTGGGTAAAAACACATCCTGTATTTGCTTACATGGAGAAACAATAAAATTGAGTACAGTGAAGCTGTTCTCAAAAGTACATAGGGAAGAATTAGAGGGAGAAAAAAAAATTCACCCTCTTTCCTGCAACTTATCCTATTCTTTTTTGTTGCAGTATGCTTAGGTATTACTGGAAAAACACACAGCACTAAATACCACAATCACAAATGCGGTTTTCAAGTTGAGTGGGTCACTTAAACAGATCATCTAACATGTTTCTCACAATCAGGAAAGTTTCTTTGGACAACACGGAAAATGTCCTCATTGTTTAAGGAAGGTCTGCACATATACCGAAAGATCAGGAGTCAAATGTAAAAGGCATTGTGAAGAGACACTGAGAAGACAACACTTTACATTGTCTTACATGTGCATTAAATAACAGGGAATTCACTGCCTGGGTCAAAAAAGTCCCACTTCTATTTAGTTCTAATAAAGTATAATGCTAGCAAAGGAACAATGCTTTTTTTATTTGTTTATTACAGTTCATTTAAAATAAAAGTTACAAGTAACTATTTTCCCTTCTCAGAAACCTTGTTATGTTGAGACAATTGTATTTAATTCTTTGGCAGTGTGTTCAGGTAAGTGTCTTACAAAAATAACTATTCAGAGGTACTTCACTCTTCCCTTTGTAAAAGCATTGAAGAGTCTAATATCCAGCTAAAAAAAAATGAAGTCTGTAGAAGTCACTGCCTTTTCTCCAGTATTATGAACATCAATCATCCACAAATTGTTCTAATAAAACTCATTGAAGAACAGAATGTAGAATAGCAGCAGATGTAAATACTGTTTGAGAAAGTCAAAAATGCACACACTTCAAACGCATACTTACAGCATATCTCCCAATTAAAAAACTGACCTTTTCCTATTTTGAAAAACCTAAGGCCAAGCTTTTTGTTCCAATAGCAGCAGGACTACAAATTGCAGCAAATATCAACAGGTTACCTACACTACCACATTATTTTGCTTTGCCTCAGTCATCAAAAAAGTGTGTAAGTCTGCTGAAATTCCTTGCCCATGACTGTTCCAGCGACCTCCCAGGAGAGTAAAGGGGTCATATCTGGACCTTAAAAAAGGTGCATAGACACATTAAACTCTGAAACAGCAGGATATAGGATACCTTCACAAAAGTTGTTGCCAAAGCAAGTTCCCACCCTTGCTTTGCTGCATACAAAACAGGTGTCTGGTCTGGGTAGATATCAGTTTGTCAAAATGCAGGTGTCTTTCCTCTTTCAAAGTGATGGCAACTCATTAAAGAGAAGAGTCACCAACTATTACAGAGACATTCATAATGTTGTGCAGCATGGGAACTGCTCATCCTTAAGCAACATAGTCTTTTTGGCTGCCAATTTGGCTTCAAGCAACAAACCTTTCTTGCTGGTCCCAACAGTATGTATTTTCTCTCTAATTTGCCCGTTTAAAATATTTAGGAGTGCTCATATGAAAGTGGTGAATATGCTCATAATTATGTCCATCTTTATAAGATCCAAACCTAAAGAAAAATATTAAACAAAACTATTATAACAATATTTAACCTATGCAGTTAAATCATACAATTACTACACTACTTCTGAATGTTCTAGATAGTTTATTTCAATTCTACTTAAATGCAAATCATAATTTATGTACCCTCTCTCACTAGATGTCTTTGAATATAGTGGAGACATTTAATTACACTGATTGCATTAATGCCCTAGGCAGTCTATAATTGGAACTCCAGCTGACAAAGGTGATTGGTGCATTTATCTACTTCAATCTTATGCTCTTTAAATTTTTAGTCCTGACTTCAGTGGAGATATAATTTAAACCCCCACGGTATCAAAATTGTCAACCTTGTTGTTAATATTGCACATCTTACTTTTGAAAATTATGGTGAAAATTGTAATTTTTTACACCATATTTAAATCTGAAAGGTTTGACAACTGACTATTATGGTAGATAGATTTGCAAAAGTAAAATGGAGCACTTATTCAAAATATCAGTGCTAAGTAACATTTAAGAGCAGTGCCATTGTATTTCTGAAGAATTACAGTTGACTGGAAAAAGTTAAACTTATTCCTACAGGCTATACCTCTCCTACTTATAAGACAACATAAAAATTAGAAAGACAAGACTGTGATGAAATCACCTGAGAAAAATCTGAATGTGAATACTAACTTTAAGTAATGTGGCAAGATGTGCCTAACTTTAGGCAAGTTTCATCATGTGGAAAAGCCTGGGTAAACTCCCATTTAAACAGGAAGCCAGAGACTGAGTGGTAAATAAAGAGTAAGCTCAACTGTTAGGTGTATATAAGAAAGTAACATGCTCTGTATTATGCATGTTAGAGGTAGTAAATATGGCATTGCTGGAAATAGATATTGCCACAGAGAGACATCTCAAACTTCATGACTCTTCCACTGATATTAATATTAGACTAAATACCTTCCTCCATATTTCTATTCATTATGCAATACCAGTGGAAAAATGACAGCATTCTAGAAAAAAAATAACATTTTTACATTAAAACTAGTCATTTTTGTTTCTCAATACATGTAATGTACTGCCTCAGGCATCCTCTTTAATTTTTGCTCCAGTTATGTGATATATTTTAAAACGTTTCTGCAAATAGTATTTAATGTATATATTGTATTATGTGTTCTAAGTAACAGTGTATTAAGATCCCAATCCTCTGAACTGCTAAAAAACATGGGAGATCTTTCATAATCTATAAAATGAGTCACCACACCACTTGGCAAAAACCCCTATCAAGCAATCTCAGAAATTAATTGCCTGGGTAAATAAGCATTACTTTCAGTATCTGCTATGACACAGCAGACTGATTTTCCCAAGGTGTATGCCAAGTCAATAGAAAAAAAAAAAAAAAAGGAATTACAAATCAGAAGTTCTTGCCTCTTATCTTTTCAATTTGGTACTGATCAGTGCCTCCCAATTTAAGAAGAATTTTGCTCCTAGACTTCTGTTTTACAAGATGTCACATACACTGTCCCCTTAATTTCTTATGAGATACACTGACCTGGGATTGAAATGGATGTCCTCAGGAACTTGGCTGGGGTCAGTGACAATTCTGTCATTGTCAGCATAGCTATCCACGTGATCTGGGATTCTAAATTTGGCCATCTGGACTTCTGAATCACTTAAACCAGCATGAGATATGCGGGCATAACCCAGCCTATCAAATACAAGAAGAGTTAGTTTGGAGAAAAAACTCAAGGCAATTTCACCACATTCTCAATGCATGTATCTTTTTTATTATTTTTTTTTTTTTTTAGCCCTGGAGTTATTCTTAAACTTGTCAGCATAATTTTCCATTTCTGTGAATATCACCTTCAAAAAACTGAAAGTGCTCCATAAACACAATCCTAAAACAATGTCACAAGTATAAAAACTGAAAAACCCTAAGTGTTTGACAGTAAGTTCTACACCTAGAAATTTATTTTTAAAATTACACCTTTAGAATTATAAGCTCACCAACTTTTTTCATTGAAGAGATTTTAATATTCAAGAAAGCAACTCAAGCATCAATGGAATGAATAATAAGAAACACTAAGATTGCATATGAGGGGGTTATTACCCTTTTTTTTTATCTCAATACTGTTAAGATAGTAATCAAGTTTACAGGTTCTACTCCTGTGAACACTGCAGAATTTACACAGTTTATTCAGAATAAGTTTAATTCCATTCTGGTACATACATCACCAAGAGAATGATTTATAAGCAATTTGGTATTGAAAGATATGGAATGCATAGATGCTAACAGAGAAAAGTGTTTCAATATAGGCTTACAAAGTTAAAGTTTCTACTAAATTCAGCATAAAGATTGGCTGGATTAGATCAGCATTTTGCTTCAAGAAGCTCTACAATCATAGTTCAAAATGTCTAGCTTCTCTGTCACACACAAACTAGGGCTTAGCCTTCACATTGTAGAAGCTGCAAAGCCAGAGCTTTGGAAAAATATAGTTTTATGTTACCAAAGCAGACTAGATCTGAAGATATTTTACACAGAAGGATGAAACCTGTCTTTGCAACTGTATTCAGAAATACACCAATTCATCCTGATACAGTGTTTCACATTACTTCATGATTTATCTAACAATACATAATTGTTTAGGATATAAAAGTCTTCCACAATCACCTACAGAAGAGTATAAAACTGATTGCCATTAAGATATTTAAACCAATGAATAAATGATCCACTTTAGCATACCTTATTACTCCACGATACATAATATAGCTACACCATCTGTCACGATCTGTACTGTCAATATCCTGGAAGCAAAAGGGGGAAAAAGTAAAACAAATAAGGCAAGTTTTCCTTTGGATAGCCTTTAAATCAGTAACAGGACCAATGTGTAAACATGCTAAAAAAAAAAAGTTTTGCCTAAAACACTGTAATAAGACAGAAAGACAAATCTTTTAGACAAATCACATAACTTTTTGACATCTCCCGATAGAAAATCAAATACAGAGCTAAGTTCTAAAAGAAAAGAAATACAGAATTAGAGGCTGAAAGGGTTGTCTGGAGGTCACCTAACCCCATGGTCAACGTAATTTCAAGCAGATTTCTCAGGACCTCATCTCGGTAACTTTTGAATATATCCAAGGATGGAGATTTCACAGCTTCACCAGGCCCCTGTTCTAGTGCTTGACTACCCTAACTGACTTTTTTTTTCCTTCTGTTATCTAAATGACATTTTCCTTGTGGCAGCTACTGTACATTGCCTCTTGTTCTTTTTTTGAACATGTGCATGTATTTTCTTCTGCGTCTATTTTTAAGTTATCAATTTAAAATACTATTTCCAATATATATTAACTCTAAAGATGCAGTATTTTTACATTACCTTGACATTTCCATTTTCTATTAATTCAGTATAATCTCTGGATCCAGGAGCTGAAGTGATGTATCCTAGAAACACAACTTGCTTAGAGCTAGTCTTCAAGAGGTTTGAAACAGCTATTGCCTGGAGTTTTCTGTCCAAGTCCTCTCTGAAAGAAATGGAAAAGACTTTAACACATATACATTTTAGCTCTGAATCATTGTGCTATGACATAGTAAGCCACAAATGAATCTGGTACCATTTTTTTGCTCAGCATTAGAGAGAAGGAAAGTTTACAGCAAGCTCAGTGATTTAAAGTTATTGCTACATTTGATAAAAGCCACATGATCATGGTAGATGTAATTAAGGTTCTCTTTCTAACCGTTACAAAACCAACATTTTCTATTACTGTTTTGTTTTTAATACTGATCTCATCACTAGGAAATGTGAATATACGTGCTTTGGTTATCTGAGGCTCTGTCTATGCTTGCACTTAAAATTTAACTGTGCACAGTATCATGCATAACAAAGAGCTCACATGCTAACAAAACTTTTATGATGAACAGATCATGGTAAACACAGCCTTAAAGTCTGGTTCACATAATTTATGAAATATGACTTGAGCTACATCATCCCATTAACTTATAATTCTGTTTGGCAAGTATTCTCCATCCCTAATGAAATTTATACATGACCAAGGGTGATAGCATAAGTGGAGCCTGGTAAAATACTGCAGTGAATCCCATTCCTTGTCCTTGGGTTTGTCATAAAACAATGCAAAGACAGTTCTCTATGATTCTTCATATTTATAACTTAAAATAGTTGTGTACATCATGTTGTGTTCTATGTTTTGGTAGGCTGGGCTAAATACTTTTGAGAAAGGCAGCTGATTTTGAAATCTGTAAACCCAAGAGAAAACAAGAATTTTAGTGTGGCTACACTTTCTAAATAGTGATATTTCTGACTGAAGCAAATGCATTAGGGAGAAAGAGCACACAGCCAGCAGACTAAAAAACCCCAAACATTTAATTAGAAGCCTGACTCTAGGTATATGTGAAATTGTCTGTTCAGCTAGCTGTTCTTTCCAGAATTACACCTCTGCAGAAGATGGGATCTTTTAAATGACATAGGCATGGTTATATTTCCACATTTTAAAAACAGTATTTTAAACCATCCCTAGTTATCCAGTATTCTATAGTCTCTGTCATCCTAAGCAGTAGAAGAAAAAAAAAAAAAAAAAAGATTAAAACCAAGCAGTTGTGTGCAACATTTAATTACAAATTCATTCCCCTGAAAAACACAATCTAATTTGCACTCCTTTCCCCTATGTGTCCTCACAATTTCTCCTTCATCTTTATCTCATCTCCTTCTGAGGGGGAAATACAGTGTTGTTTTCATCTGCTTTGACAAACTGTTTCTCAGACAGGCAAGTCTAATCACCTGTGTGAGGCACAGAATGAAATTCCTTTCTAGAGTTCAAATTGGGAGTGATTTCTCTTAACTGTATTTGTTTAATGAACGGGAAATTTATAAACAAATTGTAGGTTTTGAGCACAGTTTCTACACTGGGGAAGGAAATGGGGTAAGGAGAATACTTATTGTTCTCTGAGCAGCTTCTTTGCATTATTATATTCTATACCCTACCCATAAATTTTCCTCTCCGTGAATTATAACAAATTTTTTAAAAAATTCCAAATCCTACTGCATAGCCACAAGCACACTAGATATTGCAGCAAATACAACAGAAAATACAGCTACATGGAGCATTCACAAAACTATCTCTTAATAATATTCATTACACACAAGTAATCAAAATGTTGTTTTTCAAGAACTGAAATATACACCTTATTCTCTTCCATCACATATTTGAGTATTGGTATAATTTTGCCTTTCCAAATCCAGATATCAGACTTTGTATTTCCACTTGCATACAGTCAGATGGAACGCTGATGGATATTTTTATTGCTGTTTCAACACTGCCCTTTCTTGGAGGTTTCAGATTTGTCACTTTTTGTTTTAATAAATATCATATTTCCATTAACACTATCTATCTGTAACTGCATCTATCTTCACTCATTGTGGAATATAATAGATCTATTCCATATTCATAAAGTCAGAAGGATGCTATCCTGCACTGAGATGCATCTCTACCCTATCATTTGTTGTGGCTTTATCTTTAGAATTATATCTTTAAATCTCCAGTAATTCAGAGAGCAGGCTCAGCTGAGTTTTGCATGACACATTTGTCCTGTTTAAAAAGTGCTTTAAAATTTTAAACCTGTAGTTATGTCACAATATTTCCTCAGGTATGCCTTGCTAGAGCCAGTATTACAGCAGCATATTTAGAGGGTACAAAAGAAATCTCAGAAATGCACAAATTACATTACATGACTTTGTACAATATATGTAACAAGAAATAAAATACACACTCTTCATTTCCAAAGTGGGCGACAACGAAATCAATCAGTTTCCCTGTGAAGTTGACCGTCAGGGAAATGGCAGGTGCAATCTCTCCCTCTGGGGACGGAAGGAGGTGATGGGTCGATTTTACAATTGGATACTTTGACAGCACCATAATCCTAAATGAGAAGAGGCAAAAAGCGACATTTTGTAGTTCACAAGCATCACAGGTGTGAACCAAGCAGATAAATGTGAGCCAAAGACTAAGTTACTGAACACAAACCATCAGACCAGAACATAAACCATCTCTAGTAGATTTTTTGAATTTAGGTTTCCCTCTAAAATACTACTTAAGTACACGTCCAAAACTGTATTACCAATATAATTCCTACACTAAGAGATATGATTCCATATATATGAATTCTTACACGGAGCCTTTCACGATCTGTATTTCAGACAAAATCGAATTTTATACTTCTAGAAATTCAAAGGTATTTTATTAGAATTAGAAGCAGAGAGAAATACATCTTCCAAGATTGAGATGTCTCAATTTTTCAGCTTCTGTTTAGACATTTTGCATCAGGTTTTTCAAAATATTTCATGAACAGAATTTCAGAGAATTATTTTTCTGCCTCATTCTGCCTCTGGAAGAGGAAAGTTACTAAATTCCCCTCACATATGGCAATAATTAAATAGCCATTGCAACATCACTAGAAAGTTCTATTTGACACAGAGATCTATATATCCCCTTGAAAAAAAAAAAAAAAAAGCCACACCATAAGCAACTGTTTTTCCAGAGGGCAAAGATATTGAAAGGTAGGCAACTGGCATATCAAAGTAAAATCAGACACAAAAATTCTGGTCAGACATGTGCCTTTTTATGCCCATTTCCCACTCTAGAGTCCAACCTGGATTTAATGAATTCAAAATTTCAAATACCTCCACGTGCAGTTACATTTTCCAACTGCTATCACATGTTTAAGTCTGAAATAAAAAGTTCTCATAGCCCAGAACAAAATAATTTGAAAAGGGATTCAGATACAGTACTTAGAATGACAAACTTCCAAATCTGTACAGGATGCCTTTCTCTACTTCACCAAAACCAAAGTAGCTTACAGGGACAGGCACCAAAACCTGATCATGTTAAACAATAAGAAAACTCCACCTACATTACATTGTAATGCTAAAGAATCAAAGCCTATTACTAAAAGACAAGCTCCAGCAAGTGATTATGGGGATTATTATTCCAACTATTCTTTGCTCACGTTCTAGTACAGATAGTATTGGTGTATTTACATCTATTTACTGTCAGTGTGCATGCAAAGATGACTCACCCCCAAGTGTGATCTCTTGTGCTTGGGCCAAAATCTGTGTAAAATCCTAGTTTTTCTCCTAGCCACATTGTTGGATCGTGGTTTCCAATGAATGGCTTAGAGGCATCACTCTCTATAATAGTGATAAAATCTGCTTCTAGAAAGGGAACAGAAAAAAGGAAAATATTTCCAGATTTATAACTGTTACCTATAAATGTGACTAAATGACTACATAACATTGTAATTTCCCTTTTGATTACACAAGGGTGGACACAAACCCTTCAGGAGTCAGTCAGGGCAGACCAATGTTGTCAAGAAAGTCACTGCCCAAACTTTTGGCCACTGCAGGCCACACAACCTCTGATAAAGGCATACTTAGTGTCTGCTTGACACAGCTCCTCCCTGGTGCATAACCAGAGACATGAGACTGCACAGTAGAGGTGGCCTGCCCAGACCTAGTGCAGGCCATTTCAAAAGCATGAGAGATACTCTGTGTACATTGATTAACAGCACAGTAGCGACTCTGCTGCTTTCAACTTGAGGAACAAGCACTACACAGCACATCTGCACTTACCTTCATCTAACAAATCCTATTGTGCTCTAAAGTGTCCTGTGCAAGATGGAACTGGCTGTTATTGCCAGAGTAATTAATCAGCCCAGAGCAAGCCAGCATTAGCCCCAAGGCATGGTAACAGAAGGGTTCCCAGCTCCAGTGAATTGCTGACCGTTGGCAGCCACCTCATTTTCTCATGGCACTGTGGCCCCTCCTTGTTTACCTGCAGAAGTGTGGTTTTGTCAAGGGCAAAGGACCCTATATTTTAACTGCAGGATACATGCAGTCCCTCCAGGAACCTAGGAAAGGCATCTGAGACCTGAAGGAAGGTGGGAGTCTGCCAGCTGGCCATAGGATGCCTGAACCATCCAGGCTCACTTGAGCAGCAGATCTGTATGGCTGCAGCAGAAAGTGCTCCCTTCTTGCTGCAATTATGCCCCCCTTGGAGTGATCTCCTGCTCCTGAAGGCAATCAAGTCATAACTTCATCTGCAGCCCTTCTGCAATGAATTAAGACCACTCCATCCAGCACCACTCTTGACACAGAAGATTTTTTTGCTTTTGGAATGTCTTATTTAGCACTGTGAAAGCAATGTCAGCAGGGAAAATGGTAGTTCTGAGTACTTTTAAGTGGATTCACAGGTTTTTGCTTCTACACCTTTAGCATGCATACTGATCACAGAAACCATCAATAAGGGTTGATGTTGGATCCCTTCAGGGCAGATAGAAAGTCCAGTCACAAAAGCCATCACACATTGCATCTTAACTATGCCAACATAGAGATGAGCCCAAGGAATGCATACTGCCACACTTTAAAGACAACCCCTATGCAGAAGCAGTTAGCCACTCTTCTGTGGTGCTCAAAATCAGGAACTCTTCTTTAGAAAACAAATCTTTTGAGAATTTGAAGCTTAACTCCAAATGCAGTAATGGATGCATTTTCTGGAAACGTTAACACAGTATTTTATATAACAATAAGAATGCAACATAAAACTCCAGAATACTGTTTTCTGCAATCTGGAGTTAAGATTTATTAATTTATATTTTGGAATTTGCTGCCTTTTTGACTTAACAGTAGATTGGGGTTTTTCTGGAAGTAATACTTCATTACCTCAAAGAAATGGACATAACCAAGTAATCACTTTTTCTAATATTCATTAATTTAAACTATGGGCACCAGAAATAAATGCATTCATTATAATTCATAAATAAATATGCAAAGAATAAATAAACATCCAGACAGGAACTATGGAATTACTAATGTACAAGAATGCTCCAAATTTCAATTCATTCAATGTCCTGGTTGTTTTCTCATATCACTACACAGCCTACATAGCTCAGCCCTCTGAACCTTTGGGTTCACGGGACAATGGAGTGAATGATGCTCAAATCAGTCTCTTCACTCTTCATTAACTCCTGGGCATCTGTGCCACAAAATCAAGGCTTGCACAGGAGCACCTGTCAGTGCCTTCCCACTGCTTGGGTCTGTCAAACCCGAGCTGCTCAGGAAAGTCCTGTGGTGCCCTCACACCATAGGAGGAGCCGAGAAAACAAATGCTGAAATAGCAGCATGGGCACTTCCTAATCTCCTGCGCTGCTTTAAGTCTTAAACCAGCAGTGTCCAGTCTACCCTGTCTCTTGTTATCCCAAAAAGTAACACGTACAAGCACCACTGGCTGACTCCTTTCAATGCGCTCTACAGCAGCTGTAATCCTGAGACCATATTCTTAATTTCCTATAGCTAATTTTTCAACTAAAATCCTGTCCGTGAGCAAGAGGTTAGACACCCTTCTTTAAAGTAAAATCATGACAACTAAGCTGCAGTTGCTATTTTTTTTTGTATACGTTGCTCTGATTCAGTGGTGGAAACAGACTTGTTTGTTTCTTGCCTGTATTCGTTGCTTAGAGCATTTTAATTTCAGACCCTTTCAGCATTATATAATGCTTCACATCTGAAAAAACCCACAGAGAAGTTACAAAGCATTGCATTTTATCTAAAAGGATATTTATCATTATTTTATTTGTTCAAAGAATTTCTCTATAGACAAGTTACTCATCAGCATTACGAGAAGAAAAATTCAAATAACAAACCAAGTGTTTTCTTGAACTAGAAACCTTTTTAAAAACACATTAAGCAAGTTACTGCCTCTGCAAATGGATTTTTTACAGAAATGATTGTATTGGAACAGATCACCAATTCAGGAGAAAAACACTAAACACAGGTTCTTGCATTAATGTAAAAATGGACTCAGTTACCCAGCAGGTGTTCATACCTATTTCTCTTCAGATGAACCCTCTCAAATATGAATGAAGGGGGGAAAAAAGATACTTACCTGTCTGATTAAGCAAATTAGCTGATCCTTCCAAATTAGACCATCCTTCATTGTCATATGCAAATCTAAAAGGCCAGATCATAGCAGAGAAGTCTCTTTTTGGAACCTCAAAAAAATAAATTGAAAAAAGTCAAGTGCAGTTTAACTTTTATGTATTGTAGCTTTGCAGCCAACATCATCAGATACATGGTGCCATAAAAGACATGCAAGAAGACAAGTTTTAACCAATATATTTTCCTAATAAAGATGTCAGGATTATAAAAGACTTAATCTGCTATTAAAAATAAACTTTGCAAGCCTTAAACATCTTGTTACGATCATCTCAATACAAAATTTTTGGACAGATAGAAAACTGGAATCTTATGATTTTTATACAATTTCCATAACTAGTCTAAGTCTAATCCAGGTCAACCAACTTTTCAGAGAGTTTAAATTCAAAGTTATGCATATAAATATAGAAGCACAGAACTCCTTCATCTGGAAGGAACCTCAGGAGATTACCTATTTCATCAGGAGATTACCTGCTCCAACTTCCCTGACATGAGATCAGGTTGCTAACAGCATTGTCAAGTCAAGTTTGAATACAACTAAAACAAATTCATTTATAAAAGTAACGTTCAAATTTAACATATGTGGCAAGCATCTCTATTTTTTCAGAATATTTTTTTCCTTCACAGCAGTACCTGAAACCACCAAAGACCCAAACATTTCCCGTGTTCAATATGAATCTACAAACTAAATTTTTGCATTTTCACTTCTGTGTTAGTTTTGCTGACTTCTTGGATACTGATACAAAGGCTTCTTCAGCACCAGTTAACACACCTAAAGTATCACATGCACATATTAGTGTATATTTGAAAATTCCCATTTTCACAAAAACACTACTCACCCCTTGGCCCAACTTCTTCTGGTACGTTTTATAACGTAGACCCAGTCCAAGCAAACCAACACCAACAAACAGCCACAAGACTTGAAATAGAAAAATACAAAAACTACGTTTTTAAAGCAAGAAAAAATAACATTATTGTAGTTAAAACACAACAGGTTACACTGTTATTCTAAGGCGTGCTATTCATAAGATGAGAAATGTGTCCATTTAAATTTCCACATATCCAGGAATAACACCAGTCCAAGGCAGTGCACTTAAAAGTATCTAAATGCATGCAGAATATCTGTTTTTGTGCAAATACACTTACATTCTCCAAAACACAACATGTTGAATAGATAAAATATACTAAAGCTCTCTGGAATAGTTACGCAAAAATTGTATCTACTGAAGAATTTGGTACAGGAGATGAGTAAGAGGATCATCTAAACTTCTCAGTGTTTTCCTCTCTGTGTTGCAAGTATGCATTTGAAGTACACAATTTTTATTTTATATTAATACAATGTGTGGAATAAAATTTAGTTTACTTTGCAAGCCTTTACAAATCAAAGATGTGATCCCTGCCAGACCTCCAGAGCGATCATTTGTTTGACATGTTCCTGGAAAAGCACTTTGTCTTCACAGAAAGCATATTCAGGGTTTTCCCACTGCTCAGGTAGTCTTCCAAATAAATACAGTGGACACTTAAGAGCTCTCAGCATTTGGCACATTGTAATTTGATGATCAAAGCCCTTCTCAGTTATTTTATTTACATAACGGCATATGCTATCTACAATGATTTCAGTAACTCCTGTTTATTCTTTCATATCTTCAAGAACTTGGGAAATTATTGTAACGCAAGTTTTCTGGAACAATTTTGTGTAAAATTTAAATAAATATGATAATGGATTATGTCAGAAGAAAGGAAATGCAGTTTAAATTAGCACACGTCAAGTAATTTCATACTCTGCAAGACACAAAGGTGCTTAAAGGGAAAGCTGAGAAACAATGCAAGTCTGGGCATGCTGAGGAAATACATGAAGTATTGTGGCAATGACACCAGATTAGCTGAACAAGGGCTGTACTTTGTGACAAGGAGTATTTTGAAATATTCACTCACTTTTGTGAGATCTTTCTGAGCAGCAATATTCAAACCACTTGAACTGGTGTTCACACTGTCTCTGACACACAAACTCTCATGAGCCACATTCTTCCAGCCCCTGAATATACAGAGTAAAGTCCTCCCTAAAGATTCCAGAAACAGCCCTGAGAAGTTGTGAAGTACTATTGTCTCTGCCTTCCAAATGCAGCAAAAATGTACACAAACAGCAAGTGATTTGATCCAAAGTCACAGAAGAAGAAAAGGTGTGGAATTTGAACCTTTATCATCCTGATCTCTCTAGGGTTAGCATGCCCTGATATTTACCAATTTTTTCCTTTACCAAACTTCACAATATTGACAGATGTTTTTCCTCAGAAAAAAACAAGCTAACAGTGAAAACAAACGCATCATTTATATGATTTCCTGAGGTTTAAAAGCCAAAAATAGTAAACCCTCAAACAATTGATTTTTGTTTCTCTTCAAAACCCAAGGAAAAAAGCAGATCCCACACATACAGTCTGGAAAGCCGGGATCCCTAGGCATAGTTCACAAGCAGAAGATGACAAGACTTTCCTGAGGACAGGCCTGGTCTGAACATGCAGCAAGGCATCAAGACTGTATTTGTGATGTCAGCCACAGCAGGCTTTGCAGGACTTCCTCCTCACACAGGAGGGGTGTCACACTACAGAGCAGCTCTTGGGCCAGCCAAGTGCCCTCACATTGCCAACCAGCTCACACAGCCCTAGGAAGGCTGTCACACTGAACTGCCTCAAAAACGACACAACAAATGGGTCAAGAAATTATTTCTATCTTTTGTGTACACATTGTAAATCCCAAGATCCGGAGAGGCCTTTTCCTCCATCACTGAAATGAAACCACAAATGCTGTTGAATCCAATCCATTTGCACCTTTTGGTTTTTGCGTGGTTTTTGGTCTCTATTTGACACACTCCATCAGGAATAACTTCTGTTAGTTGTTATCATAGTGAGTCAGCTCCTCCAGTAGAATATGTCATCCTTAAACTGGAACTAGGGCAGTACCAACTACAAGTCTGTCTCTGAAAGTAGCAAAAAAACCCACATTTCTAAGACATCTGAGCAAAAAGCTCCACACTGTTGCTCTTTTCTCTCAGACAGGATCCCTACAGTCAGGGAAAAAAGGAAGTAATTTTATACTTACATAGTTTAATATATTTTTTAGTCCTTTTAAATAGTGGCTTTTGATTGCTTTTCACTTCAAAGGTAGAGCTAAGGTCTTTCTTGGGTCCTGTTAGAAAATCTAGCCCAATACATAACATTATAAAACCTATAAAAATAAAAGTAATTAGTTTTTTTCATAGAGCTTTAACACATTAAACATTTCTCATAAATACAACACTTATAAACTTCCAGCTGTTGTGTTACAACACAACAAACCTCTGGCTCCAGTAACAAAAATGATTCAAAGCACAAATGCAAATAACTGCCATATCTAATGTAGCAATGCAGGACATATAAGATTATTGACAGCATTCTCAAGTAAAGACTGATTTGCAGTATAGTTCCAGGGTATTATGTCAAAAAGGCTACCACAAGGTAAAGAAATCATGCTAAAATCCTTCCAGGCCCTATTGTTGACTACAACTCTCAGCTCAGTTCACTGTTTTCAAAGTTTACTGAAATCAACCTGGACAAGGGCAATTAAGTTACACGTATGTATTACAGAAACTTAAAATAACAGCTTTATGAAAAAATACATCGATGATTGTAGACACCTATTATCTACAAATGAACTGCTCTGTCACCAAGATACAAGCAACACCGTTTTTTGTATAAGAACTACAAAAGCAATTGCTCGACTCTTTGTACTAAAACAGCATAAGCAGATTGCAGCAGTTGGAAGGCCATTTTAACATGGCAGAAACTTGTATTCTTGCATTCCAGGGCTAACAGAAACAGCTCTGCATTTCAGGAATAGGCAGCTAAACATGCACGTAGATACATTTTAAAAGCTAATAAACTATTTCTACACTAACTGCTGCATTGCAATAGAAAGGTATCTTTTCAGTAATAGTTCAGACAGTTAGTACAAGGTCCTTATGAGATAAAGGATCCAATCACCTTCAAAGAAAATATGGGAGGATAACGAATTGGGGTAAGAGCTCTGCTGGAGAAAATACATGTCCTTAAAATCTTTGTGGTGTAGTTAATTAACTATAGAAGCCATGTTTTGCTTCAGAGTTATAGGTGCTGATGAAATAACTATTACTCAGTATTTTTTCTTGTCCTTACTTGTTACATTAGTTGTAGTGGAAGTCTGCAAACCAAGCAAGGTCTAGAGCAATGATGAAGCGGGAACACACAAACCTTGCTCTAAGGGAGACTGATTCACAGCCATTAAAGGAATCTGACCCTCAGCATTATATCACATCACAGTAAACCAGCACAGAAATTTTGAATACAATGATCTTACTTCCATTGTCAGTTTTCCTGGTGCAGCTCCCTACCCAAACTGCAGCAAGAGAAAGGCAGGATATTGGACAGGAGGAGAAAGCAAGAAATAGCAATCGCACCTGAAAGAAACCAGAAGAAAACAACCAGTTTGCCAGAAAGCCAAGCTGTAAGGGTAGAAGCACAGCTACAAATAGGCAGTCTCATGGTATATTTTGCAAATCTGTGATAAGCAATGGGATGGCATTAAAAAGACTGGACTCTCAGATGGAATTTAAACTCATGTAGTGTCATCAGCTGAGGTGGGTTCAGTCCACAGATTTCATTTTACTAAAGAGAAAGTTAGGGCCATCTCTGTGTTACTACCTTGTGATCATGCCAGGTAAATTAATCACAACTCTATTTCAAAGGAAGTAACAGAGAGGGATTTTATATAAAAGCTTTTCTCAAGAAAGCATTTGACACTCCTCTACCACATGCTTTCTTCTCAAGAAAGCATTTGACACTCCTCTACCACATGCTTTCTTCATATAACTTAAAAAAATAGGATTTAATTAACTAAGATACTGTTTCTACAGATAACCCAGAGTGCTTTGAGAACAAAGAAAATAATGCAATAATGGAACAGAACTCTCCCCAAAAGATAACAAACTGAAATCCCTAATGTCATTGCTGTAATATAAGAAATGCTTATAGGCAGTAAGAAACTGGAGTGACAGAAAGTGGTTGCAAAAACAGTTATGAAATCTAAAACCAGTGGAGCAACAAGTCAAGCACAGCATTCATTAATCTTGTCCAAATAAAATACAGGCTCATGCGTCACATTTTAAAAATGTGCCACACAATTAGCCCAAGACAATGTTTGGCATCGTTTAAATATAGTTAGTGAAATATGCTATTGAAACACTTTAGTACCTATTGAGAAAATAATTCTGGAGACAAAACCAGGAAGGGTTGGTTTGATTTCCATCTCTCCGCCCTCGACAAGTGATCATTTGGCTAAAGCCTTTATATTTACTCAACTCGGTTCTTCCTTATTTGCAAATATCTGACAATTTTTTTTATTCCTCTCCTGTTTGCATGTTTCTGACACTGCAGGCTCAATCAGATTCCTCCAAACATGCTGGTGTGTCCACAAAACATAAAGTAGAACCACAAGGAATAGAAGCTCAAGTCTCAAATGTAGATGACCTAGATCAGCGGGATGATACACTTTGCTCTTCAGAGTAGGGCTTAATAATGCACAGAATCATGTCAGGTCCCAGTAACTACCTTGTTACCTGAGGTATCATACTGCTGCTTTGGGTAGGTAGCATACAGGTGCATACACACCCTGGATTGCAGTCAGGTTTCAAGAGTGACTGATTAACAGGTCTCTTCCTCAGTTGCGTACTGAGTTATCAGACATTTTTCCTCTTTGTCTTTTTTCCCCAACTGAATTCCACTTTTTGTCCACATTTTAGACTATTTCTAACAGTAAAGAAACAAGTATATAATTTTTTTTGCATATCTCATTAATTTTCTCATTCAAACTCTTACCATAGTAAACGTAACACCATCTGAGCATTTGGAAAGACCCTTCGTATGCTAGATACATTTCACATGTCTGGCTGAGGCTAAAGCAAGTGTATTTGTATTTGTTCATAATCAGAAACGTACCTAAAAGAAGATGGGAGCTTTCTCTAATGTAAACTCCTCCAGGTACAAACTTATAAGCTGTACACCATACGCAGAAGAACAATTCAAGAACATAGGCAAACATGGCTGTACTCATGGCTTTCCCAGGATGCAGACAGCTAACAAAGTGTCCAGCTAGATGTGGCCACACAGACATAGTAAAGACAGCAAGGATGTTGCCTGCAACAGCAGCACTCCAGGTGTGCAAATAAAGAAGACCAGCTGAAGATGCCAAACCTGAGAAGGTATAGAAAAGAATACAGTAAGACTCAGACATATTATCTGCCACATTCATTTCCACAATCTATGAAAAAATACAGTCTGGGAAATATAACTGTGCTTTGCAGCCATGAAAACTGCATCACTAGAATTTCACAATTGCCAAAGACAGTCTCTTAACTTTTCCCAACATCTCATTTTTTTAAAGACTGCTTATTCAGCTAAAAACAGTGCAGCAAAAAGACAGCAGAGAAACATTATCAAGAGCCAAAACTAAACAGTTTTTCTTACATAGAGCTTTCCCAGCACAACAGAGGGATGATGCACTCTTTAAGAGATTATCAGATTTGCCTGTTATGAACCTCCTTTACCATAAGAATCAATCAAGTTAATATGAAGAGCAAATATATCTTTCCCTGATCTTTTTTCCCTATAGATAACGATATAATGGGCAAGAAAACTATTAATCTTTTACTATCTGCAAGATCTTTTGTTTACTACACTGTCTTTGATTTGGGGATTCAGCCCCAAAGAGCATATTAACAACCAAAGAAGCTCTCTATTATAGGACAACTTCATTTTAAAATGTTACTGCAGGTAGGAGTGTTTACTAACTTTCACACTCTGATAATTAATGCATAGAAATGCTTTTAATATTTTACTGTTATACATCAAGGTTCTGAGCATTTAAAAATACAGTGGTTGAATGAAGTAAAGAACCATTCTGTACTCGTTTTAAATTAGCAATCTGTGTACATTAAAAAACAGATGCTCATACTCACATTATGACCTGCACACATATTCCCTAAAACTAACAACTGCACCAAAAGGTAAATTATTTGGGCAACTGTTGGTTCAAGCACTGGCAACTCTTGTACCTTCACTGTGACACTCCTGATATTTGGTATTTTAGATTCCTGGCTAGGAGAAACTCAGTTTATTTCTTGTCTTCAGGGTTGTGGAAAATGGCTTGAAAGTGCACTCTTAAGTGCTCCAAAACAGAAGATGAATGAGAAAAAAACCAAAACATAAGTCATCATTTCCTTTGGTCCCTGTATTTTGGTAAGTCCCAATTTATTATCAAACATTTGTAGGAAGACCTGTTTTATCTTCTTTATATAAAGATCTACAAACTATTAGCTAAGGCCAAAAAAAAGAAGCAGATTTAGAGGTTTTTTAGACAGCATTTATACAACCATATTTTACTCAGACGGGATGACAGATTAAACCAAGCAGCATCTATCCATCCATGCTGAGACAGCATGGAAAACACACCTCTCCACAGTTCAGGAGCAGAATTATTTCATCTCCTACTTGCTCCATGCATCACTCGCTCCACAGCATAGTTATACCTTCCTCCTGAAAAAGGATGCCCAGATCCAGTACTTGAATCCCACTTCCCACCACCTAAGACCCACTGTATGCAGACTGATTTACAAACACATTGCTCCAGTAGGCCTGCTTTGATGTTCATATTATTTTACTGCCTGGAGATCTTGGCAACTAAGGAGACAGGAGACAAGCTTGCCTCCAGATGAACTGCACACTAAATTACAAGTTATTTTGCCGCTTGCAGAATTGAAAGGTTTGTGTCACCTTAACCCCACAACCCTCCAGGCAGCCTTATCGGAGAATGACTAATATTGGAAAAGACCTCTAAGATCATCAAGCCCAACACGTTGTACAATGCAGAGGGTCAGAACTGAAATGCTGCTCAAGGGAACAGAACCTTAACAGAGGCCTCTGAAGAGAATAACACTGCTCTGCAACGGCCTGGAGATTTGGCCTGTAGTCCTTAGTCAACGGGTCAGACATAGGTATACTACAGTCAGTGACAGAGAAAAGAAGGATTTGATTAGCCACAATTTTCTGAGATGTGGTAGAAGGTCAGAGGACTTGAGTAAAAGAAATAAGGTAATAGAAACAAAAATTCTGCTAAGGGTTTGCACCTACCTATGAGAAACCAGGCAAAACTGACAACAGAAGACCAGCTCCAAAATGAAAGCATCAGTCCCTGAGCCAGGCCCAGCAGAACTGTACCCCTAATACAACAAAAAGGGATAAGAAATTATGCACTAATACGATTTTATGAACACCTAGGACTCAAAAAGAAACTTCTAGACATCCAGGCAAGGATGTTTTGTAATATTTTATAATCCTTTTACTTCAAACAGATTTTTATTTGAGTACAAAATGTCTTTACCTCACACCCTGCTATATTTTCTTGTCTCTACTGGATGTAAAATACATCCAGTTGAAAATAACAGCAGTTTATTGTAAGGTATAAGTGAGCTACATTCAGCACCAGAAGCAGCCCACTGAAATCCTAGGTACAAAAGGCAAAAACAACTCAGAGAAAATGAGAGGGAGGAATCCACTGCAAACACAAGTATTTTATTCACATCAAATAGGGGATCCTAACACATCTAACATTGCTATCAGTCTTGGGTAGCTCTTTTGTATACCATCTCCAGATTATAAACTCTGTCATCTGCCAATCCACATAGTTGAGTCAGAATAACTAATCTGGTTTCTTCCTGGGCTTTGGAACCCAAGTGAACCACATACAGCATCAAGACTACAAATGTCTACAGAAGTATATCTTTTAATATTGCACATAGTTTATTTATCTGCATGCATGTCTGATCATCTCTCTGAAGTCAACTGCTAGACTAATTTACTGCCTATTATAGATGCACTGCATTTATAAGTCCATGAACCCCAGTCCTAATCAAAAAAATTGTTTTGCAGTGTTACAAATCAAGATTTTATGGCTGAAAAAAAAAAATTCTGTATTAGAAAATTTTAAGATTTCATAGTCTAGACACAATGCTCAGAGTTATCTGAAAGCAAGAATGAATCTAGGAGTCATCTGTGTGAATTATCTTGTACCCACCTTTTCTATTTAAATTATTATACCATCATCCAGTTGAGTTTTAATTCATCCTCCGCTACAGCACTGGCTTTTGAGTACTATTTTGTTTAAATAATAACAATAAAAATCCACTTACCCATGTGGATTAGGATCTGGACCTGTATCTGGATGTCCACTTACTGCCCATCTAGAAATTAATGAGACCTCCCCAAATATCCATAGGGTGAGGAACATGAGGCTGCCAAAAGCAACCCCAGATAAAAGCCAATAAGGATGGGAAGCAGTCTCTCTAACTACAGTACCAGTTTTGTTTGCTTCTTGTTTCCTCCTGTCTCCACCTAGAATGAGCACAGAAATGCAGATAAGCAAACTGTCAAATTCCAATTGCAAGAGTTCCTGAGAAAAAGAAATAGCCAAGGTCACAAAATTACCAGAATAAATTACAGGCACAAAAGCTAACTTATCTGATAATTCATGGAAATTGATAACACCAAAAAAAAAAAAAAAATTCAAAATCTCTAGTAACAATCCTAGGTATGCCAGGAAAAGCTACTCACAGTAAGTGTACAAAAATGGTAACCTGCCCATTTGATTATTCTTCATAGTACTGGAATTTAAATAATTAAACTGACCTTGAAAATCAGCAGAAAAGTTATTGGAATTTGTTCAGAGGATTCTGTTCTCTGAAACTCTAAGCTCTGATAAGAACAAAACCCGACACTTCCAAATAAGCCAGAACTAAACTCCTTTCCTTCTCCTTTTTCCATGCACTGTAGATCCTTTCTCATCTAAGGAGAAAGCAGCACATTTAATTGCACAGACATATCACTTTGTCATCCACAAAGGAGACATATTTCCTTCCTAATCTCTTGCAGTAGATTCGCTTTCTAAATTCTGATGAAAGTTCAGGCTTAATTTATGTTATGTAATGCAAGCCTACAAACAATATGCATGATGATAATTTATACCCACTTACACATGGATAAGGTTTTATCTTTCAATTAATTCATTCAGGTTATACTGAGAAGGAAGGAGCTTCTGAAGATTCAACATGAGCTGCCTTAACTAATCAACTTAACTAACCATGCTATCTTCCTTGGCAATACCACCTTCACAGTTTTTAAGTGAGCTTTGCCTATGCCATCTCCCACTGCTGTATACTCTCTCCAAACACGCCAAGAACTCAGGCAAATTTTGACCAGGACAACTTGTCCACTCTTCCAATACTTTCTGTTTATTTTGGCACATCAGCTGTTCCCCAGCTTTGTCCTGTCTCTCCTTCTTTGTCAAAGGATATGCACTGGCAGAGAACGTAAAAGTGCAGACTGAATTAAGAAAATAACAGAAATACCACAGATGTTTCATGCTGGAATGACAATAACCATTCTGCTTTTATTGGTCTAGCTTATGCCTTTGTTTGTGTTACTGTCACATTATTGACACTGCAATTAGCTGACAGTTCCAACACCAACTTACTACAGCTTGTATGGATTGTGATACCAGTTCTGACATGTTATGGGTAGATGGAAGTACCCCATGGCTTCTAAAGCTCATGCATCAGGTCTAAAAACAGACTCTATACTGGGGGGGAAAAAAAAAAATCAAAGAATCAAAACCCAGTGGCACATAGATAGGTATACTTTAGGATGTTTTCATAACTGCCATCTTTGCTTACCTGAGTAAATCCGCTCCACTGCTGCTATAAAACCTATTGTCATAATGACAGTGTTGGCAACCTGTGAGCTCCAGACTGGGTTTAGTGATGTATACCAGATGCGAAGAACAAGGAGCACTATCTTGCCTAGCATGAAGCCCCATATCCTGATGAACCTGAAAAAAAATCAGCTTTTGAAATAGTAAGGCATTTGGGGAAAAGAAAAAAATCTTAACTTCTAGGGGATAAAAAAGTAAGAAAACACCTTTTAATATAAGGAAATGTCAGGTACAATCCCATCAGCATAAGAAAATACCTTTGTAAACTGTTTCCTGACCACCATGTTACTGTTTGAACCAGCAATGAAGAAGAAACACCAACAGCCAAGATGAACAGTCTAATTGAAGCATTTGGTGCCTGGTATGATGCTAAGCTTCCTGCAAAGAAATGCACACAGACAGATATTGCTTTAATGGGCAATAGAGATCAGGTAATAAGGATTTCCTGTGCATTAGTTCAACCTTGTCTGTAATTTAAATAGGTACACCATTTGTCTGAAAACACGACACTACCCATTTTTAAACAAAGCAAAGAAATGTAAGTATGAATAGTAAGTGGGTATATATGACTTTATAGAAATTATCATTTTCAAGGAAAAAGATAACATGAAGCAATTATCCAACAGTGATTGCCTTAATTTAAGTACTTATGGTGATTGATTCCATAAATAGGACATATGGATAAAATAATTAAGCATACAGATACTCCTTTAACTGTGCACTTACATAACCCAGAAGCCATAAAGTTTTACGTATGGTGACTGCTCTTTTCTAAACAGGATATGGCTTTTGCTGTAGTGTACTTCTAAAAGTAAGTGCGCTTATAAAACCAAGTACACTGCGGCAAAAGCCATATCCTTAATGAGATGGGAGTAGTCACCATACATTGCTCAGGAATTAGCAGTCAATTGCCTTAGCAGCTGTGAACAAGGCTTTCTCTGGCCCAGTATTTGATTTCAGAGTGGTCACTACCAGCCTGTGTCATCTTATTACTAAAAACTGTCACTCTCCCAGTCGCTGAAAGACTGTGCACACACACACACATCTTTGCCAGTTCCCACGGCACGCTGACCTCACCTTATCAGCAGTTTTAAACTCTGCTAGCAGGTTTCCAATTTAAGTGACTATGGATCACATACATTCTTGTAACCTCACTCAGTGTGGCAAAATCTGGCCCAGGACCAACATCAAACATCAGGAGAAACAACATTGTTAACGCTACCAGCCATTTGCTAAGTGAGTATGAGTCAAACTTGAAGAGATGTTAAGCAAGCAGGGTCAGAAATGGAGTTGCAGATTCTGACAACACATGCTAGGAATCCTCCAAATGTCTACCTGCCCATTCTGCTCACAGTAAAAGATACAAAGCTTAGCACCAACATGATAAAATGAAATCAATGCGTAGTGAAGATGTTCTTGTATGGACTTCAGCAGAGGTTGCGTGTTCAATGCACAGAGATTTCTTTGCTAAACTGTACTGGCAATCCATAAACCTGCCTCTTCAAATCTTTCATCACTTACACTACCCTGATTAAAGCTAGCATGGGTTTGCCAATTTACAACAGACACACCTTTTGTTGCTGAGCAAGTACACCCAAAACTTAAATATATCTATCCAAACACCCAGATTTACTGTGTGTTGTCTGAAGACACAGATTCAAATGGACACTACCACGTGATAGATGGTTGCTGTTTGTTTTTAAATAGAACACAAAATCAAGTACTATGGAATTAAAATTTTTAGAGAAAAATAAAGCCTCCTGAAAAGGCAAAAAGAAACAAAAAAACAAACAACAAAAAAATCCCCCTAAATATGGTTTTAGCTAAGCATGTAGAATTTTCAGATTTTTTGATTGTGAAATTTAGGACTGAGTATTTGCAGTGGAATGGGGTGGAGCATGGGGTAGATTGTTCTGCCTGATTGTTCAACAAGCCCCAGAGGAAGACCATAGCCTTTCTGAGGAGGAAATAAAAGATCAAAAAGAGAATCAGGTGTCTAGGTATGAAGGAGGGAAAAAAAGCAGGAAGAATTGAGAAACAGGAGAAACAGAAGAAACAGCACCACAGTATGATGGGACAGAACTAACATAAGAGACAAAATGAAGTGATGAGAACTAAGTAAAAAGATATATATGGAAAGTCCTAAAGCCCAATGCTGCCTGTGCAAGGGCATCTGGCTAACTTGAGAACCTGTAACATGGAGGCAAGTAAAGAGTGAGGGTTACCACTGGCTGCTAAACTCCTTGCTGGAGACAAAGAGGGTGAGGAACATGCTCTTACGTCTTCCCCAAATGCCAATGCTCACTGTAGGGCAAGGGGTAGAGAGAATGAAGGGTATGTACAATAGAGCTGGAAGACAATATAGTGTAGACTTGCAAAAGGGTGGACAATATTAAGAGTGTTTGAGAGGTGAAAGCAGCAGGGGAACATGGTCATTGAGGGAACAGTTCCTGTTCAGGCAGGAATAAAGGAGAGATGGAATTTGCATATAGCAACACTCAGGTTAGCCCTGGCTGAGGATGAGCACAGCTTTTGTCTCTCTGCTGAGTTTTTCTATGACCACCTACACTACACATCTCTGCCCCAGATTACTACTGAATGAGCTAACGTTTTATTTGGAGTTAATACTTTCAGGAGCTTGTGATGCAAGTGAAGCAAACAGCCATGAACCAACAGACTTTACAGAGCATTATAAGCCTGTCACTGCTCTTTACTTAGCAGGACAAAAATTACACACTTTTAAGTGAGTCCTGTCTCTTTTGGTAAAGTGAACTAGTAAACACAGCAAGGTGATCTGAAGGACTAATCTTAAATAAACATGGCAAATTTTGTGTCACCATGACATCTGAAGGAATGCAGGGTGCAATTTTAAATGCTTACACTCATTACTAGTTTCTAAATTAGAAAATCTTGAAGAAAGAGATACACTGAGCACTGCTGCAGGAAGCTGAAGTAGAAGATTCTGCTCACTTAAAAGCTTATTACAGGAAAAAAAAAGGTATTAGGATGGATATAATGGGAAGAGTAGAAAAAAAAGATGGTAAGACTATTCTTCATCTAAACCAAGGACACCAACAAACTGGCTTCAGTTCCAGTATCTTTCTAGAGATAAAGAACAAGAATTCTTTTCAAAAAATATGCAGGGAAAGTAAATAAGATGATCTTATTCTGTCTTCTAACAGAAAAAGAGGAAAACTATAAAGAAATTGATTCCCTGCTTATCATTTTAGATTAACAAATGAGGAGCCAGGAACTGCTGCTTCTGAAACACATCACTCAGCAGCAGTATTTTCATGTCTACACAGGGTGGAGACCCTCGCCTCCTCTGAGTTCATCCAGGTGATGCAAATTAGTTAGCAATAACTTGTTTCTGAATGTGGCTGTAGATGCCAAACCTTCTCCCAACAAATTTTCAGAAAATCAACAGGAGGTAAGATTTGCACCAGTTAGCTGAAGACCAAAGCAGGAATCCCAGCAAGTCTTGGTTTTAGGAGGAGCGTGTGGGGTGGGTAGCAGGGCAGCTTTTTCCTAAATTTATGATCAGACTTTTTTCCTGTGCAACTAACAATATAAGTAATTTCATATTTAGGATAAGCCTGTAACCCCATTAATATGCTACAGGCATCTACATAGATTTAATTAAAAAAATCTATTCTTAGAAGAAAAAAACTGCCTCAGAAACTAAGTCTACCAAAAAGAATGCTTCACTCATAGCAGATTACTTTTATAATAGCCCCAAGATGATGTCTCGTCCCTACCCATTGTCACAGACACAGAACAGCTATACAAAAAAAACACGTGCTCTGCTGATCTCTGTGTAATACTGAAAACATGTTTCCTACTGGGCATGACTCATACTAATTTTAAAGCTTCTAGAGATAAAAGTCAAATTAGATTTTTCTTTAATTATGCAGTAACCCAACACAATGGCTGTAAGCAATATTCCTCTGACTATAGATAAAAGCTGGGGAGAAAGAAATCCCAACAAAACATGAGTATGGGGAGAGTGAGAACTTCTTATTGTTGTCTGGTTTTGTAATCATTTGAATTTCAAGGCAATTTGGAAGGTTTTTTCTTATGCCTTGATAACGAAATGGAATCTGTAACTCACAACAATGTGTACTTACCAACCATAGTCAATCTCAGAAAGGCTAAGATGTACTTATTGTTAGCCAACCTCCATAAAGGGCCAATTGTCAAGAATATTGGAGAAAAGAAAGCAACAGCAAAAACTTCTAGGCCCGTGAGTGCCAGTGTCTGAAGAGGGAAGTAGTAGATCATCGGTGGCAGTGCATGGTAAAGAGACCAAGAAATGTAGCCTAAAAAAAAAACCACACAAAAAAACAAAACAAAACCAAACAAACAAACAAACAAAAAACCACCAAAAAACACCCAAAAGAAAAAGAAAATTCTGTCATGTATTTTCAACAGTAAGGTTTCCTGGAGATTACTTAAAAACTGCGATTTTATACTTCCACATTAGACTATCAAACATATTTGAAGCCACTTTATGTGAAGAAATATTTGCTATTTCAAGTTAAATAAATACATTTTCCCAGGAAATAAAATGGTGAAAATAAAATAGTGCTTTCCCCCTTTAGACAGTAGTTCCTAGACACTGATCCTCAGTGAAAGAGTGGTCAGCCTCGGAAAGCGTTACTGTTCAGGGGGATCAATGCTGCCTAAATAAGCAGTCCACCCACAGTCTCAGGGCTCCTCAAAGTCAGATTGGTGGCTAAAGGAATTTTTCTAGTAAAGCGGTGTGCCGGTCTCCCCTGGAGACACCTCATCCAGGCACGCCAGCACTGCGCTGTTTCCACACGCTTTGCAGGAGACGCACGGAGCAGCCGAGCCGCAGCCCGGAGGGTGCCGGGGTCTGCCCTGAGCGCCCCAACTTGTGCAGGGCAGCACAGCACCAGCTCTGCAATACCTGCAGAATACCTGGCCGGGGACAGCAATAAATCCTAGGCTAACCCAAGAGACAAAAGGCATTCCAGCACCAGAGGGAAAAAAAAAAAAAAAGAACCCTGAGAAGAACACTCAGCAGTGACCACTATTCACTCATTTCTAGCGGAGGAGCGTTTCACCGGCGACACCTCGCCACGGTCCGTGACTCCCGGGACACCGCGCAGGGGCTGCCCCGCCACGGCCGCCGACCGGTCCCGGCACAGCCCCCCGCCCGGTGCCCTCAAGCTCGGCCCCTCGCCCCCCGCCCCGCGGGGAGGCACCGCCGCCACCTACCCAGGAGACTCTCCGAGAGAACGGCCTTCCACAGGGGAAACATCGCCTCGCGGTGCTGCCGGGCACGGCGGGGGCTTCGTCCCTCTGCCCTGGAGCTCAGTCCCGAGTGCCCAGGAGGGCGCGGCGCCGCCGCCGCCCGTCCCGTCCGTCCCGTCCCGCCTCGGGAGCCGGCTCCCCGCGGCGGGGGCGGGCAACCCGCACGGCCGGGGCTGCTTCTTCACTGACCTGTCGGCAAAGGAGCATTTATTCACCGAACAGTCACTCCAGCGAGGAAAATAAAAGCAAAAGGCTGTCATCCGACGGGCTGATGGGGAAAAGAGGAGCTACTCCCCTTGCTGCTTCTATCAATGCTTGGTTGATTATGTGGGGCTCGGGGAGAGGTGTCCGGAGTAGTGCTGGGCTCATCTTAGCGAAATGTGTGTTGTTTTACAGCAGAGTAAGGACTTCTGATAGCAATGCTGTCTGCAGAAAGCATCAAAAGAAGCATTTAGTTGGCTGAGATTCCTGAGTCGCTAAGTTTGTTAATTTCAGAAGAGATCCTGAGTTAAATCGACCCAGCCATGACCACAGCTGCCAATTTACGGTAAAAGGATTACATAAGCAAAATCTGAAATTTAGAATTTCATTTTTCGCATGAAAAGTAAAATTGTAGCTAAGAAGTCCTCTTGCTGTTGGAATATGTCATCTTCTTAAGTTTTATTAATCTTCACAGAGCACCCTATGAAACTGCCAGCTGTATCTTCTCATTTGTGTTAAAACTATTGTCCCGTTCTAAATAAACCTTATGGTATGCATTTTGTTTCCTGGCGTGTGAAACTCCAAATCCATAGGAGTAAAAAAGGAACACTTGACATCATTATAGCAATAAATTCCAGTCAAGACATTTGGAACAAAAATTTGTCCCAGTAGTCTCAAAGTCAAATGATTCATTTACAGTATAACGGGGTTTGATTAGCTACTAAAACTCTGTTGAATTTTGGTTGCTATTTGAAAACATTTTTTTTTAAATGTCCACAAAAGAATTGAAGTATTTTGATGGAAAAGTCAACCTCACTAGGAGAGGAAGAATGAGACTCACAGATTTACATCACCTTCTTTCTATGTGCTCCAAGTTCCATGTCACTAAAGGCATCTTTCTTTTTCTTCATTTAAGAAAAGTCGTACCAGAATAGTCACCAAGTTCACTTATCACTGTCTCAGGATTTTGTAAGTGATGACAACATTTCATCTTGCTGTGGTGTGATGCAAATGGAACTTGGAAGATGAGATCCTTGGCTAGAGTAAACCTGGAACATGGCTGCTCTTGTAGGTGGATAGGGGGAGTGTGAGGCTCACAGTATGTATTCAGCCAATAAATATTTGAAACAATTTTGCAACACTTTCTGTAATTAGTGTCTTGCTTCATGGTTCAAGGTGGAGTTCCAGTAAAACTAGACGTGGCTGAAATCATGAACCTGACATGCTTGTGTGGCTTCCATTAAATTCCTAATGCAGTGAAGATAATGCAAATCCTGACAAATTTAGCCATAGTACTCTGGGTACTCTCTCTGAGATTCTTAGTAACTACTAAGTTTGGCTTCACATGTAACAAAATTACATTCCAGTGCTCTCCATAGAGCTGACACACCTATAAACATCAGAGCACAAGAGGAGAGAGTTTTCAGGTGTAATTTCTTAAATACAAAAGTCGATGCTTACAAGGTGATTCATGACACATGTATATGTAGGAATATCTTTTGCTATATTGTTTTATCTTGAAGCACCACATGCGTAGCTGATAAAAAATACAGCAAAAGCAGCTGATCTTTACAGGAACACAGTGATGGCAAACCACAAAAGCCAAGATAACATACTCCACTGGGAGTTTCCACTCACACACACAAAAAAGGGTATTTTCATTTTAGAATAGTATTAACGTACCCTTACCCTAAGGCAGATATACAAAAGTAGCTGAGATTAACAGAAAATAAATTACAGCCCCACAATTATATTGCTTGACAGGGGTAAACCTCTCTAAAGCTAGTGATTGCAAAAAACAATGCTTTATTTGGGTTCAAACTATAATGCAAGCATGTCTTAAAACTCAAAGTAAACACGTGAAATTTAAAACAATTTTCAGGCACCTGTGAGAAGCTGTCCTTGCATATAGCCCAGTAGAGATGGGCTTGAATGGGCATGATGAAGAAGCAGAAGAAAGTACCAGAAAAATAGAGGGGGGAAAAAAAGCATAAAAGTGTGGGCATAGATTAGGATTAAGAAAGCGACTCTGGAAAAAAATCGGAGTGGGTGAGTTTACAGTCAGGCACCTGTTACACTCACAGTGGAAACACAAACACATGCAGGTCTCTTCAACCATTTTACTGGCTTCTTTACACTGAGGAAATCCCAAATCTTGAACATCTGATAATTGTAAGCTCTTCATTTCTACTAGAAGATAAGCCAGACCAAGTGTAAAATAAAAATAAGTACATCCAAGGATCAGCCAGGACATAGAAAACTTACATGATTTCTTGTACAAAGCAAGGACAGTTTAATGTTTTACTTAGAGGTATGTTGACTGTTTCCTGCTGCGACGTTTCATGTTCACCCTTAACTCCTACTCCTATTAGCATGAGAACAATGCCCTGCAGTGTAATTGTTAGTTCTCCATGCTCTAAATGTTTCTGTGACTGATACATTTTTATAACCACACTGTGCTTCCATTACTCCAGGTCTTTGTTTCTCAGGGAATCTTTAAGCAATTAATGGTCTGTTTAATTTTATAAGGGACAAACAAACCATATTTATGATATGCTCCTCTTTCTCTCATTCGTTGTATGTATACATGGAGCGTTTCTGTTAAATACCTGCACTGTGAAGGCTTTGCCTTTGGTGAATGTAGTGAACCTCAGGCCTCTGGCAACCTTCAATGTTTTCTAAGACGTTCTTCAGACAAGCAGCCAGAACCTGCAAACCTTCCCCGAGTTTGTGAAGTCTCAGTCCTTGATCTCCTTCTATTCTGCCAACAGAAAATTCCCCAGCCAAACATTCAACTCCATAATGGTTGTTTTATTTTTGGCATCTCTTGGGGTTTTTTTCTTTGATGTATAAAGTTGGTTTGGTTCTGGGAGGGGTAAGAATTTCTCTTTTGGCTTGTGTTTATTCTTCTGAATCACTAACATTTATTGATTTCTGTCCATTAACTTCTCTCCCTTTTTTATAACTATGAAGTACTTTCAGGTAAATTTTGGAAACAAAGACTATTTGAAGAACATACTCAATTGTGATAACCAACTTCAAGGTTAAAATTAAAAAGAAGTTTAATAGGCATTTTTAAAAGGCATTTTAATAGGCATTTTTGTGCAGGAAGGCGCAAGAACACAAACAGTCCTGTCCCTAGGCAACCACTATCCCCAAGCACGCATATGCCTCATGAGGAAATTGTCATTCCAGGGCTCTTTAATTTTATGTCCAGTTTAAGCTAGACCAGTTAAGAAGTTATTGGTTATTAAGTACTCTCCCCACATGGGATTTTCTTGTGTGTTGTATTTTTCAGAATACAATGCAGCCAGTTTTACACGATTTCAAGAATACCTTTTAGATCACAGGAGGTATTAGGCACACTTTTAAGACTTGTTTTAGGGCATCAGTCCTGCCCAACCTCCACGTGAAAAGCACATCACGCAGCAGCAAAGCCCAATCCTCTGCTTTGTCAGGCAAGAGTAGGAGAGTAGTCTGCTGAATGGGGCTTCAAGTAGCCAAGACTTCTGGAAACTGAAAGCTTTTTTAGAATCAAGAAAATGAACTATGGCTTATGCTTATTATGAAATCAGATGCAAAAGTCATGTAAATGAAGAAGTTTAATGGTGATCTCACAAGCTGCTAATTTCATGATAAGTACTGAGGTGTCATATCACCATTTAGGATACTCTAAAACTATTATGTTTTGCTGTGAAAAAAAAAAACAAACAAAGTAAAACAAAACAGAAATGGAGAATTTTTTTAATTCAAGATAAAATACAAAATAATTTTTTTTTTTATATTCCTTGTTTAGAAAGCTTATCCTTAAAGAAGGGCATTGCATTTTTAATTTCTAAGAAAGTGGAACAATTTTTTCAGTATTCCTAGAGGAAAACCCCCTCCTCTGAGGGAGGTTATCTGGATAAAGTTATCCAGATAACTTTGTCTTGAAAAAATTATTTTTGATTGATAAAAGTACATTTCTTATTTAATTTACTTCTTGCTAATATTAAAATTCATTGTTATACTTACATAAGCATCATAGTATTAAGATCCAAGCAGATAAGCAGTGCTTTTCATTCCAAAATGGTCAAAATATAATTTGTCACTTCCTCTTTAAAGAACGAGATTTCATTTCCCCAAAAAATATTTTCAATTCATGCGACAGCCTCCAGCACCACGTGTCATACAGTGGGCTCCTCACTACAAGAAAGACAAGGAGCTACTCGAGAAGGTCTGTCGGAGAGCCAGAAGAATGATTAGGTGTCTGGAGCATCTCTCTTATGAGGAAAGATTGCGGAAGCTGTACATGTTTAGTCTAGAGAAGACTAAGAGGGATCTCATTAGTCTCAGGTAGGTGCCAAAGGCAGGTGCGAAAAGGATGGTGCCGGACTCTTGGGTGGTGCCCAGGGACAGGATGAGGAGCAATGGCCATAAACTAAAACATAAGAAGTTTCACCTGAGGAAGAACTGAGGGTGGCAGAGCACCGAACAGGCTGCCCAGGGAGGTCGCAGAGTCTCCCTCTCTGGAGACATTCCAAGCCCCTCGGAAAAGTTCCTGCGTCACCTGCTGCAGGTGACCTTCCCTTGGCAGGGGGGGTTGGACCAGATGATCTCCAGAGGTCCCTTCCGACCCTAATGATTCTGTTAACTTCATTAACAAATACCCTTGCTAAAACAGCGTTAAGAACTTCACTCGGGAAACACGAGAACGCGGAACCTTCCCGGCGCGCTCGCTGTTCGCCGGCCGGAGCAGACCACAGGGAGGCGAGAACGGCTCGCGTAGTAGGAGATGCCGGCAGGGCCGAGGGCCCGGGGCGTGAGGGGAGCCGGGCGGGGCGCTGCAGGCTGGTCCCTGCGGCCGGCGGCCGGGAGGTGGCGGCGGAGCCCGGCAGCGGGGCTGGGAGGTGGCGATGGCTCGGCGCCGCTCCAGGGCGGCTCAGCCCCGGAAGCCGAGGCGGGTGCGGGGCGCAGCCCGTCCCTCCCCGGTCGTGCCTCCGATGCAGCCGGGCCCCCTCACAGCCTTCCGGGGCCGGCCGGGCCACCCCCTTCCGCTTCCTCCGGTGGCCCGAGAAAGGTAAGTGCTGCTCTGGATCGGGGGAGCGGCAGCTTCCTACTTTCTGTGCCGGAGGGGCTGAGCTCCGCGGGGCCGGATTTCTCTGGCGTCACGGCGGGGGAAGGCGGGGCCGGGCGGTGGCTCTCGGCAGCCGGCCCGGGGCAGGGGGTAGCTCATACGGGGTGTCTCTCGCCAGTGCCGGGGACGGGGCCCCTCGATTCAGAAAGGACACTGAGGTGCTGTAGCATGTCCACAGAAAGGGAAAGAGGCTGGTGAAGGGACTAGAGCACAAATCCTGTGAGAAGCGGCTAAGCGAGCTTAGTTTGTTCAGCCCGGAGAAGAGGAGGCTCAGGGGAGACCTCCACAACTACGTGAAAGGAGATTGTAGCCAGGTGGGGCTCGGCCTCCTCTCCCAGACGACTAATGACAGGGAAAGAGGAAATGGCCTCAAGCTGCGCCAGGAGAGGTTTAGGCTGGACATCAGGAAGAATTTATCCACAGACAGGGTGATTAGACATTGGAATGGGCTGCCCAGGGAGGTGATGGAGTCACCGTCCCTGGAGGTGTTTAAGGAAAGATTGGACGGGGCACTTGGTGCCGTGGTCTAGTTGATATGTTGGTGATGAGTCAAAGGTTGGACTCAGTGATCTCTTTTCCAGCCTAAATGATTCTGTGATGCAGTGAAAGCAATACCGTGTGCTGTACCCAGGGTGAGGGCACTGAGCAGCTGCTGCGGAGGCACGGCCGGGCAAATGTGGAGCGTTCCCCTGCTCCCTGCTGTGGGCACAGGTGTTGGTAGGCAGCTTTTCCTTGAAGACCTAGTGCAGCTGCTCTGTAGATTCTTACTGAAATAAGAGCCTGCATTTAAAACAAAGAGCCAGTTCAGAGGGGTGTGGAACATCATGGTGAATCTTCCCCTGTTCCTCACAATGGACACAGTCCTCGGAGTGCCTCTCTGAAGTCCTAATGAGTAGTCTCGGTGATGAGTGGTGCCTGCCTTGGGCAGATGTGCAGTGTTCACTGCAGGTCACAGTCTGCTGCAGGGACCAGATAACACATGCAATTTTGGCTCCCACCTTCTCCCCCAGGTTACCCTATTATGTGGTCACCATTCCTGTTTGGAAGGAGGTGTCTTATTGTAAACAGAGTATATGAACTTGACAATTCTCACACTATCTTCTTGCATACTGCTTCTTTATCATCCAGTTAGAAGTATTGAAACCATGAGATCTTTCAGGAGCCTAATATTAGCCTTTTCTTCTGTAAATGAATAAATGATCCAGGACAGTTCTTGTAGAAGAGGAAGAAGTTTTTTTGATATTTGATCTTTGCAAACCACATTGATTTAATCAATCTATTATAGAGTATTTCAGTTAAACAGAAGAACAACATTTTTGGGAATTCTTCTCAAGGCAGCTAAGAGAATATACTGTTAAATATTACACTAAGAATTACATATGTAGGTTGAGAAAACAGTAATAAGTGTTACAGAGAGTGACAAGAAAGTTTCTTCAGTAGGTTAATGCAAATAAAGTTATTTTTTGGGATGGTGGTTGTTTTTCCAAGACATAGGGCTTCAAAATACTGGAACACTTTTACATTCCTTGGTCTGGTAAGTTTGAATACTAATAATTCAGTTATATTAATATTTTGATGACCTTAACTTTGTCTCTTTGTTTCATTCTTGCCAGTGTAGCTTTCAGCTTTCATGCCGTGTGAGAGATGTACCAGGAAGCTGCTTAAAGGGCTAAATATTTTTGGGATTCTTCGTTATTCTTCGCTACTGTTGAAGCAGTAGCGTAGTAGAATAAGTTATGATTCAGGGAAAATGTATGCCGAAGACAATACAGGAGGTAAATGGCAAGCTGCAAATTTTTATAATCTTAGTTTATACTCCTTTGTTTTTTGATTTGGTTTATTTTATTTATTTTTCTCCAGTGACTCAGGTTTTTTATCATCATGAAAAGGATAAGCACTTTGTTGCAACAGTTAGAAACTGTTTCCAGTGATTATTTTTATGCAACCATCTGCACAAGTAGCCTTTGTGAGTAGATAAGAAAGCAGATAAGAGTAAGAAAATTTGATTGATCTTTCATTGACACAAACCTCTTTAAAGTTTTATGCATTTCTCTCATCTTTTATGTCCTTTTTTGTGTTAAGTGATGCAAATTGCTTAATTGGAAATTAAATTGCTCTCAGATTGAGGCAGACAATGTAGAGCTGTGAGCTTTCCAGGTAATATGTGGATTTTCAAACGTAACTTTTTTCAGAGACACAGTGGTCACTGTCGTTTTTTCAAGTGTCTGGGAATAAAGTGCAGATTGGTATGAATGCAATACTTGACTTCTTTTTTACCCAGGGCAGATAAGGTAATGTTGCTTCCTTGGTATTATTTAAGAAAGCTTTGCTGTCTGAATATGTTGTGTGTGTGAAGCAGACATTGTTTGAACTTTATAGCTGTGTAATTGTCTCCAAAATAAGTGCAGAAAGTGGTTTATATGGTAACATTATGAGTGCAAAAAAAAAATTATGTTACTAAATTGTTGCTTATCTTTTCTTTTAACTCTGCCCTTCACAGTCACTTTAGCCTTGCTCAGTGACACCATTCACAGAAAGTACATTTGGAAAAGCATCAACGCCCTATATGTTGGTAAATAAAGTGCCAGACCATGCACCAAAGTGCTAGGTAAAAATCACAGTTTAGGTGTTTGAATTACTCTGGAAATAAATGGGATTCCTTCTTGCTTTTCCCTAGTATCCCAATTCTCAGGCATGGAAGACTGCAACTCTAAAACTCTTTGGAATCTATTTATGCTTCTAGATTAATTTTTTTTTTAAGGATATTTGTAACTGGATAGTGTTTGTTGGAAAAACGCAAATGTGGTTTGTGATAAGCTTGCCTTGTGGGTCCTGTGTAATCCAGACTTTAGATGACAGCAGTGAGGATAGAAACAGTGCAGTAATTCCAGAGAGCACACTAAAGAAGCTATTTTTTTGACCTGCAATAAAAATTAGAAAGGTTTTAGATGACTTGCTCACATTTATTCTCATTTCTCTATCACTGAGCATGCTATGTTGGGTCATGACTCAGCACGTAATCGTAGTTCCCCACCTTCCTGTTTGCGTTGGGTTACACAGAACTCTGTGTTGCCGATAAGTGATACACTGTGCTGTGAACGGCATATCAGGTGATTGGATGCTATCTGCTGTCAACCTTTCAACTTGGGCATTTTTATTTCTAGATGAACATTGAACTTAAAGTATCAGCATGACAGTTTGGCTTTTTACCTTTGTACATAGCAGAAAGAGAAGTAGCCGAGCATAAAACGAAGAGCTTCTGGTGAGCAAGGAGTACTACAAGGAAAGAGACGATGTCTTCTGAAACAGTCAAACAGGAAGTTCAGACACGTCCAGTAAAGCAATCTGGATGGGTAAGCTGGGTTTTCTCCCTTTTATTTTAATTCTATTGCTAGTGAATAACTGGGATTTTGCCTCAATTGCTCTTACTGAAGACAGAAACAGATGTCGGTTAGCTTAAGCATATAAATGAAGAAAAGAAGGGCTATGTGTTATTTTTCCAGGCTCACTATGGTTGGAGGGATAGGAGTTGTGAGTCTTAAGGTTAAGGCACTGATTTATGCAATATTAGTTAAACTAGTTATGAACTGGCAGAGCCGTAGTGTGTGAGTACAAACCCAGTATAACCCGTCCCCAGTAAGCTCTGTGTGTGTGTGTGTGTGTGTGTGTGTCCAAGTATTCAGAAGCAGAGAAGGGAACAGTACTGCACAAGAGTCTGCCCTCCAGATGTACAGAAGATGAGCATTCTCCTCTGATGGAGAAATTGAGAAATTTAAATGTGGTATGACCTTGTTGCTAACCAGTCATTACCAGAGGGCAGCAAAAGTTCGTTGATCTGCAAGGAAAGGGGGCCTTGGAGTCATGAGTGACTGCAAGGTGGTAGGGGCTGGCACCTCAGGGATAAGGAGCGCAGTCCCACAGTACCCAGAAAAGAGGAGAGCAGATCCAATGATGTTAACCAGGGTCAGCTTACAGTCAGTTCAGTGACTGCCAGGCCATTCCTTAGGAATAAGGCAAGTCTGATGGTAAGCCAGAAAGTGAAGTTAGCAAGGCAAGATAAGGATCTTCATGGTAAAGGGCCAGGTACAGGCCCTACAACACAGTTAGGATAAGGGCCTGTGCTTATATGCAGCTCCTGAGCCAAAGGGCAGAGGCCCTGAGCAAAGCTTCTTGCAACTCTTTCTCCCAGCTTTGCTGTTTTCACAGCAATCTGATTCAGGGTTACACAACTGTGCCATGTTAGAGCTGACTTTGAGCCCAAGCAGCTAAACCCGTGGCAGGGTGTGTATGGAGGCAGAAAGGTTGCAAAGCCTGTTGGTGCATGTAGGGCCCTGACACTCATTTCCTTATCTTTCACTCAGCCTGTTTGGACTTTACTGTATTTGCTGTGACTTTGCTCTGAAACCAGTTTGGAGCGGTTCTCTAGGGTCTGGGGTGGAGTAATTCCTGTACTGTTTATCCAAGCAGAACTACCATTAACTTCTGTGGGAGCAGTGCTCGAAGAAGGACTGAGATATTAATTAGCTAAAATATGAAACCCGTAGCTGTAGCCAATAAATGCATTTCATTATTATGGTTACAAAATCATGGATCAGTCAGGCATAAAATGAGATAGAATCCTGTAACAGACGAATGTGCACTTTTTCCCAAGGCACTGCTTGCTCTGTGATTTTAGCTTTCAGGAATAAGTATGTTTGTAGATGTGGTGTTTTTACAGAAAAATGTTAAAATTTCAGTTAATTTTAACTTAATGACAACTCCTTCTTCCCCCCAGCTTTTCTTGCTGAGCACAACATCATATGCCATGAAATATCCCTTTGGTCAGTTGGGGTCAGCTGTCCTGGCCATGTCTCTTCCCAAATTCTTGTGCACTCCCAGCCCATTTGCTGGTGGAGCATCCTGAGAAACAGAAAAGGCCTTCACTCTGTGTAAGCATTGCTCAGCAGTAACTAAAACAACCCTGTATTACCGACACTGGTTTGGTCAAATCCAAAACCTAGCACCATACGAGTTACTGTGGAGAAAATAAACTCTTTCCCAGTCCAAACCAGTACACCCACATATTTCAGATGTCCAATAATGATACTGCAAGTGTTAACACTCATAACTCTTTTCTTAAAGAAAAATAATCTACTTCTATCTGCATGTCAATACCCTGGATGGTAGAATGCAAGAGAGAATACTGGCACTTTTTTCTCACAATCAAAATGGGGGAAAAAAAGAGCTACTGTTAACCTAAAAGGAGTCTGTTGGTGAGCTAAATTATTATAAGGGTGAAGCCAGTTTGGTTGAGTTCAGTTAATGCCATGAATATATTTAAACTACTCAGAGAGAAAGTTCTGCAAGTGTGGAATCTGGTGGAGTTTATGTTGACCCTCTTCTGAATACTTGGAAAATCTACTCTTACTGAACTTCAGTTGACTTCTGTACGGGGCAGAATTTAATTTTTGGAAACTGCCACTCTGCCTTTATTTCCTGTCGTTTCTTTCCCAGAAAGATAAGGTAGCTCAGGAGAATGAAATGACTAGCAGAAAAAAAGCAATATACTTCTGGGGTAAGCAGCAGCTGAGCTATTTTTGGGAAGCGGACCAACAGGGTGAGTGGTTTTAACATAAAACCTGTGTAGTTCTTTCTGTTTCTGTATTGGGGTATCCGTATTTAATCACACTGCTAATAACAGAGTAAGGAGTTTTGCTTGGTTGGTTGTTTTTTTGCATTGTATTTTATTCGGTTTTTGTTTTAATAATTTATCTTCTTTAGTCATTTTTTTTTCTTCCTGTGAAATTAAATTCATTAAACTAATCCAGGTTTATGCTTTCAGCCAATGTTCTTTTGCCCCACCTCCCAAATTCAAGATGCTGGAGAAATTGCAAGGATCCGTAGGGAATGCAAACAGGAAAGTTTCTGGTACAGAGGTGGGTGATCTGAAGTTATTCTTACCATACTGAGAATGATTTCTGGATGTACATATGCGAAATTGGCTGCAAAATCCTTTTTTGTCAGAATATTGTTGTGGGTTAACTCTGTCATCTTAAGTTAACCACTGTGTTATTATAGAGTTAATTGAATTATTTGCATAACTATTGTACGTAAAGGTGGTTGAATTAAGCTCTTGTTTAATATGAACTTACTTTAACAACTGTAGAGTTGGTTCTATTCTTGAGGTCCATTAATACAACCACCTTAGGAGTGTTTTACTTTGTTATATACTTATTCTTGCCTTTGAATGCAAGGCAGGCCATGGCTATGTGTCTTGGATTTGTAAAATTCTTCAGGATTAGGACATCTGAAAGATTAGTTACTCAATGTTTTAGTGCCTTTTAAGTCCACCACATCAGTTTGTATCTAAATTATGTATTTTCTGAATGGAGAATATCGAAAAGGATTTCAGCATTTCATCGGAGCTGCTGACATTACCAGTGCTGCGGTAGCAAGAGGAGATATTCAGATAATGGAAGCTACTATTTAATAAGTATACCTAATGCATTAGCTCCAGATGTTACAACATGGCTGATGTCTGGCACTGTGTGAGCACATTCTTACTTTGAAGAGAATGTGATCTGAGTGAGCAGATGTAATAAGTGATTAGGACAGTAGGCAAAGTTAATGTTTAGAAGGAATGTGTTTAACATTAGAAACATATTAAACATGTAATGTATAAGAGAGTAAAGTATTTACCAAATAAGGAACAAATTTTGGCTTGTACAAGATACCTCCTTTTCATTTTCACAGCTCTTCCTTTGTCTCTCGGGAGCATGCTTGTCACCCAGGGGCTGATCTCCAAAGGTAAAGATAAAAAAGTACATTATTGAAGTGCTTTTTTTCAATATCAATATTCCTCTTATTCATTGCCATCATTTTTAGAGTGTATGCGTTGCCACAGTCATTCTTTTGAAAGAGCATGAACTGAAAACAGAATTCACAAATCCAAAGACTGGTGGCTGGATTCTGTCACTATGACTACATGGATTTGTGTAAAATCTTCACTGGGACAGCTTGTAGGGCAGGTTGTTGTATAGCCTGAGCAGGGGCATCAGAATCAGGTACTGTAGCTCTAACTGTTGGATTATTTGAAAAATGCTGGCAGTGTTTTTATAGTGACCATTTACCAGTATGACTACAGCTTTGATACAGAGGGACAGGGAATACTGCCAAAGTGAGGAGATGGAGAGCTTTTCATAGGGATGGCTTGTGATCTGCAGGCTAACACAAAATATAATTGTATTTGTGGATGAACCTGGTTCTACGCAGGGCACCTTGAGCTTCCCTTCTGGGGGTCTTAGCTAAGGCTGGGGTTAGCGTTTGGGTAAAGAGGGAAGGGCATCCATCCTGAAGAATGCTAAGATGGATATATCCCACAGGAGCAAGTAAGACAGTCCTTCAGCCTGCATCAGCGGCTGGTTACAGCAGGAGAAGAAAAAATTCATAGGGCCTGAAGCAAGGAGCAGGGCTAATAAAGGTGGGTGGTGGGAGACAGCAAATGGAGGTGGTGGAAATGGCTCATCCATTTCTCAGTGTGTGTGGTTGCAAGCCCCTTGTTTTGTTCCAGCCACTGTTACCATGTTACTTAAACCTAAAAGCTCAGCTATACCACAAGAGGCTGATGTGGGTTCCCTATTGCATCCTTGACGTATGAGCTTGTAGGCAGACAGGGAGAGAAGGAGCAAGGGAGAGTGTGTCAGAGAAGGTGAAGGATTACACATTCGAAAAAGGTTGAGCAGTGATAGGAAGGGCTCTGGGGTTGTCTCAGTAGCTGCACGCTCTGGCACCTGGTACTCTTCTCAGTTTCTGTTCATTGTACTTGAATGTTTTTGATTAGCTGTGAGATAACAAATGGCCTTATTAAATAATCATTACTGTGTGTCAACAATTGGAGGGGAGGGTTGAGTAGAAACAAACAACACTTTTGTTCCTCCCGCCCCGAGAGACCCAGTTTAAAATTGCATAAATGTCAGTGTGCAAAGGCCCTTGTGCTAAACATAGGCTGAATGCTCCTCTGTCTAAAGACTCCTTTCTTGTGGCTGCACACAGTAGCTTGCCTCTAGAAGAAGCTGGAGCCTCTAAGCCTCATTCTTACTGTCTGAATGCACGTAACAGTGCAACCAGTGTTCACTGCCCTTCCCTTTGCCATGGTAATCTTGCTGCGTGGAACCTTCTTCCACAGCATGGCACTCCTCTGTCAGATACATAACTCTTGGAGGAATACTGGTTCCACCTCCTGAGGTTAACTGGGGGGAAGATGGATTTTGGTGAAAAAGCTAAAGATAATTTTTTAGTTTTCTTGTTTGGCACGCTCTTAAAGGCCAAAATGTGTGATCTTTCGTCTCCAGAGGATGGCTAGATACCAGTGGTACAGTTTTAATCAATAGCCACAGAAAACTACTGAAGAATGGTCTTGTCATACTTATCACAGCATGGGGAGCTGGACCCTGAGTAAGGGATTTAATTTCACTGTTATATTTATGGGGTTGGTTTGTGCTGAAACATAAACCACCATCTTTCTCCTGCAGTGCTGCAGGTGTCACCAGTGGCAGACATGCTGCTGTCATGTTATTTTACACTCTGAACTCCTGCCTGAACTGAATCCTGCAAAGTCCAGATCCTTTTCCGCCTGTGACTCTAGGACAGCCCCAAAACACATGCACTAAGAACTTGTGGAATGGAAAGTACCCTGATGTTCAGAAATCTGAGCTAGTGGACTTCTAAGTTATTCATACTGTCTTCACCTTAAGCAGTGCAAAAGCTTGCAGGAAGAATACTGCCTTGGTTTTGAGTGCTGCAATAAGCTTGCTGACTGTTTCCTTTTATTGTAGGCGTTTTCTCAGCAAGTCCAAGATTTGGTCCATACCCCAAGATGGCAAGTAAGTTGTACCCAATTCTAAAAGGAAAGATTATTTACGGGCAATATGCAGACTGTAAATGTATCTCTCTGAATTTATTTCCAAACTCTTCCTCTTTTGGAATTCATGAGATGTTACCCCAGCACTTAAGGAAATCAGAATTCTTATGTGTTTAAAAATAATTGTATGCAACCAGATTCTTTAAATGTAAACACTTCCAATAGCAGCTTACATTTCCTTAATACAACCTCTCAAATTCCTAAAAACTCCAGTCTCAGCTTTGCTTTATAAATGGTGTCAGCCTCATTGATCAGCCGTGCTTGGTGCAGCTTGTGGTATTAAGGAGTCACTATACTCTAATATATAAAATACTATGTTCCTTTTCATATGCTCATTTGATTGATCTCAGCTGTCTAATTCATAACCATGGATTGATAAACAAAACAAATAAAAGCATGGAATTGTACTGTACAGTGAGGTGGCTCTTAAATAGCAAGAAATGAAATTGATTCCTTCTTCAGCAGAAACTCAGTGGGAACTTGAGGATGTTGAAGTAGTCTTTTATTCTGACTCTGTAAGAAGTAAAAACCATAATGTGATAGTATGGCAGGCTGATGTTCTAGCTTCTTAGAAGTCCAGAGAAGTCGGTGTTAAAAGTGTGATCATTAAAAAGGTGTGCAAACAAGGGCAAGAACAATTAGTGCTGACATTGTGAATTAATTTTACTGTGGGCTATCTCTATAATCTGTTCCTCTAAATATTACATCCTTTTCCTGGATGCAGGAATATTATACCCTTTTCCTGTACGCATTGTTTTGTACCAGTTGCTATCTCTCCTGATAGGTAACCAGTTTTCAGTAGTTATTGAAATCATGCCTGTAATCCCTGTATAACTTCACATGTGTTTGTGACATGTTTTGAGAAGATATGTTGCGTACAATTCATCCTATGATTAAAATAAGCTAATAGAAGACTCCTGATTTAAACTCTTGTATTAACAGTGTTTTGTTATCTGTCTTTATAGTTGCTGGTATCTTAGGTTTTGCTATTGGAAAGATTTCATACTTTGGAGAATGCCAAAAAAAGTTCGAGAAAATTGGTATGACACCATTTGGTCCACAACAAAAAAGGTTTGTGCTTATTTGAAGTATTAATCCTAGATCAAATTAGTCTAAAACATAGTAAAAATTATATGCAGCAAAACTTGGAATTTAAATTCTGTAATCAGGTCATGAGGTACTGTTCATAGTCTTAGGCTATATATGGCAGTATTAGGGACTACTATGCATTCTTCAGAAAATGCAAATTAAACTCAGTGTAATGCCTGTTATTAGGATATGGTTTAAATGAAATTACTGTATTTTGATGTATGATGTGACAACAGTTGCTGTTTTCATCTAGTATTATGCAGCTACGGTTGTCCATGTTATCACTTCAGTTTTTTAGCCTTCCTTTAGACCAGCAGGCCAAATATGCTTACAGATTTTTTTACAGTGTCCCCATATTTTAACAACAATTTCAATCTCAACCCATATTCCAGCCTCCTCCTCCGTGGCTTTGCCTGACCTCATACTGTCATGCCAAATCACGAAGAGCACAAACTGCAAGGGTATTTTTTTCCACCTTGCAACCCTAACTGTAGGATAGATCTCAATGGTTGACTTCTGTCACCTGGTACCTCCATGTTTTAGTCATTGTTCACATAAAGTACTCCTTCCCATCAAATCAGTCTCTGACTTCCTTCCAAGCTCCACCTTAACTGCCTGTACTACTTTTCATTCTCAATACGGCTTCTGGTATGCGCCTTTCATATGCAAAATACAGTTCCAAAGATCCTATCCACAAAATCATTCGCCTCTGTCTTTCCACATCTTTTCCCCGGACCAGCATGAGCTTTTATGCCTATAAAAATGCCCGACTGATAGCAGGAAGCTTCTTCACTGTTCATCTATTTCTCTACTTGCATTTCCCCCCACATAACAAAGCTATTACTTTTTCCTCACTTGGTATTACACAAAATGGCTGTTTGTCCCTCTTTTGTGTTATACCTCTTGCTCCTCACTCAGTTTGCCCATAAGTACAATGGCAAGGACTGCCTTTACCTGCATAGAAAATCCTGTTATATTTTGGCAATTGCTGGAAGGGGATTAATACTAATTATTGGCTGAGACATTTAAATGTCATCTTTTGCAGTTTAAGTCACATAAAGCGCTAACAAGAACTGGGGAATATAAGCAGGAGATTACTTCTTCAAGAACTTTTGCCATTGTGCTATATAGTTGTATTAGAAGAAATCCAGCAAAATTCTTCAGTATTTTATTTGCTTTCAATATTTTAGGCAGTGTCATCATGCTTGCAAGGAATGTAAAGCAAAACTGGGATCAAGTGAGAAAGAAGGTTCAATTCCTTCAGCATCTTAGTCCAGGTAGGCAACCTTGAAATTTAAAATAAATTCTCATGTCATTTTCCATGTTGAGTGGTATTCTTCTTTGAAACCTTTGAACAATATAGTGAAAATCATGGATTTTAATAATGGATTAAAATCTGAGCATTACTGAAGGAAATATTCTTTATTCTGTGGTTTCTAATTAAATTAGTTTCTTAACTTTTAGCTTACATACCTTTCATGCTAGTTTTAAATCCCCCATTTCTGAGGAAATTTTGCTTTAGCTGTAGCAGAGTATTGCTTATTCACCTAAGTGGAATTAATTTGGACAACTGCTTGTATGAAAACAAATATATCTCCTTTTAATTTACAACTTTTTTTACTTAAGAATCAAATAATTATGGATTATACTGATATTTAAAAGTGCATTGAAATACTCAGAACTAAAAGCAGACACAGTTGGGTGTGGATTTGTTTATTTGAGGGAGGTGGGGGTGGGTTTTTTGCATCCAGTACTATAGTTTGGGTAGAGCTTTAGTGGGCTAATATAAAAGTGGGGCAAGGGACACGGCTCAGGGGGTGTTCTCTCCTCAGAAAGGGAAAGTTCCCCTTTCAAAAAAGGAGGATTTACAGAGGCACTTGTACTCTGTCTATGAAAAACAGGCCAGCAGCTGGGCTTTTTAAGAACATTTTCACACTTTCTGCTTGTGGTAAGCTGGCCTACATTTCTCACAGGCAGGAGAATGTGTGAAAGTGTTTGCAAATAGCTTGGCTGCCTGCAAGAGAGGAGAGCAGAGGGACTGTTTGAAATCTTGCCATGTCAGTTTGTGTAGCTCGGAACAGGAGTCTGATGCAGCAATTGTTAGATTGAGTCTGGTATATATTATGTAGGAATTTAGTCAAGGATATTGATAATGGTCCCTTTCTTAATCTGAAGTGCTTGAGTGCAAACACTCTATAAGCAGGAGTATCCTATCAGAATCTGTTTACTTACCCAGAAGAGAGATTAAGGTGGATTTTTACTATGCAACAATACGTCATGGCAGTGAGGATTGTCCTGAAAGAAGCCATTAGAATAAAGTCCTGGTTTTAAACAATTTTGTCACTGCTTGATTGTTTTATATCAAGTGCTGCAAGTGCTCAGCCACTGGCAGAAAATACAGTTTGGCTTAGGCTCACCTAGTAGGGTTTCTGCCCAAAGGGGCAGCATGTCTCTTGTGCCGGCTGTAGAGATCATGAAGCAAATTGGTGGGCCAGATCAGCTTACTGCTCCATGTGAGGAAAGGGGTAAAAAAACCCCCAGACCTTTCTGAAAGGTTTCTTGCTAGTGCCAGTATGAAGGAGGGAGTGAGCCAGACTTAGGTAACTGGGAATGAATGACACCGTCAGTCCATCAGCAGATGTGAACCTAATTAAGGCCTTGCATTACTGTGCTGATTAAGTGCTTTTGATGATTTTCTCTTAAAGGAATCCTTATGTAGGCCAGTGTCCTCACCTGTTTCAAATAGGGACCCCAAAGCATATTTCATTGAGGACAGTCACAAGCTGGCATATGTGATTCCACCTGTGTGGTGGAATCAAGTGTTCATGATGGGAGTTGCCTCTGCTGTTTGTCACAGCTGCAGCTTGCTGAACCGTGCTCCAAATATATTTTCTTTTTCAGCCTTCTACTATGTGCTGACAATATTTGTCTCTTGTATAACTACCAATTAGCTGTTAAATAAATTGCAAACTGCCTCAAATACAAAGGAGTATTGCAGCTGTATGAGGGGAAGAATGCAGGATGCCATAGGCCCCTTTCTTTGTTTTCCTCCTGGAATTTCTGCTGTGGAACCTGTTTGCTGTTCCAGCTCACATGTTCATCAAAGACCTTGATTGCTACACTTTTTAACAGCAACTTAGGTCTTCTTGTTTGGTTTTTAAAAGAGCTTTTAATTGCTGGAAGGAAAGAGCCATTATATTTGGGTCAGTTTGGTATTTTGAATTTGCCAGAAATCAGTTTTGATGGGCAGGTTTTAGAAACTGTGCTCTAAAAATGTACAGGGACCCTACTGAGCATATCTTGCCACTATCCATGCTAAGTGTATGGTGCAAGCTCTGGCAGTGCCTAGGAGGACCACCCAGATAAAATTATACTCGTGTTAATGTGTCCAAAGGTAATGTCATTTATCCTCAGGGGCTTGGGAGCGTTCTCAGAGAAATCACCAAGAAGCTGCACATTTCGCATTGAAAGCAAGGTGTCACTCAGCTAAATAATGGGTCCTTTTATTCCATTTACAGATGTGGCGAAGATGATAAAGATCTTACGGATCGGCTTCTTTCCAGGCACTTTTGTGTAGAGAAGAAATAATAGTTTTGTGATTCTGTGTCTTTGATTTGATGTAGATTGACTTATTTGAAGTAGTTGCATATTGTTCTGTTGCATAGTACTGTTTGTGCTAAATACCAGTTTCTTGTAATGCACTTTTTGAAATACACTCCTCTCTTCTCAGCATGATCTGGTTTATTTTCCTCTCTTTGGTGCAATTTAGCTCTTAGTGCTGAAAAATTAAATTTGTCTATTGTACTTGGGTTGTGGCAAGACTTTATGTAGCAAGCCAAATGCCGTATGTTGGAATGTTCGCCACCTATGTCAAATGGAAAGAGTGCAAGGATGTGTAAATTATTTGCACAGTTAAGGAGCTGTCCAGTCTCTGAGCTGGCTCCTTGGTTAGGGAGTTCAGGGTATTGTCACACTGCAGTTACTGTCCTGAACCAGCTTCCAATAGGCCAGCTTTACCCAAAGGTCCACTTTGCCAGGGATATCAAAAGCATGTGCCATACTCATGAACAAGAACACACGATATTTTGGAACAATTTATGGTCTGTGCACAATCTGAGGCCACCAGATGTTGATGAAAACAAAACACCTAGATGGCACGTGAGCTCTGCAAGCAGCAGGACACACAAACCTCCATGAAACATCTCAGGAAATCAAAAGCAGACACTTTCCCCAAACGTAGTGATGGTATTCACATGGAAAGTCAAATGCACAGCTACTGAAAAGTTTGGACTTCACTGTCAGTTGATGAAGACTGTTTTTCATGGGGTTTTTCTGTTTGCTTTTATACTATGCCTTTTATACTATACCTGTGATTAGTGCCCCTCTTTTGAACTAGCTTCTTTGTGCATCCTTTCCTGAATCCAAAGAGACTCTGCAAGCAGGATATATAGTATGGAAAAGTATAAAGTAACTATTAATTGGTTAGCACACACAAAAGACATTCTGGATTTAACAAAACTGCTAGACTGAATACTCAACTCCCTGACAAAGCACTTGGACAGACTTTCCTAACCAGAAAGACATGAAGTGGGAGAAGGGTTAGACTGCCTAGATTCCCTTTTCTTTTTTTTTTCCTGTAAGATTTTATACTTTTCCACTTGGTGTTTGGCCTCTTGAATTCTTGAGCTCCTAAGAACTCCTGTCTCAACAGGGACTTTAATTTTACACTTTTTACTTTTCTACAGAATTTTTCCACAGCTCTTTCTCAGCCATCGGAGTCAGGGATACACAGCGATGCTGTGTATAGTCAGGTAAGCCTTGGAGAGCCTTCCTCAGGGACTCCAGGGAGGGGGGGGTTACACAACCACAGGGAAGTCGCCTCCTTTGTGAAAATAATGTAGCTGTCACGAGTGTACTGGGATAGCCAGCAAAACTTGTATGGTGACATGTGTTAGCTACTTTCCCTTCATCTGACATCTGCTGTCAGAGTAAGAGCAAGAAGCTGCACCGGGGTTTGTTATGCCTGGGTTATCTGAGGTAAGCCATTCCTACATCCAGGTGATGCCGAGGAGAGTGATGCCTGTGACAGAGGACCTTTCATGTCAGATTCTCAGAGGTTGTTCTTGTGGTTGGTGTTACCTCCTGGGGTTACAACTTACCTACTTAACTTTGCTTTAAATGTAATTTCATTTACTTTTTATTTTTAATTACTTTGCTGTAATAAATATACTCTTGTGTAATTTTGTCTCCTTATTCTCTAAATTTATTTCCATACTTTGCAAAAAGCTAAGTGCATGAGTTTTCTGATACAGGTATGAAAAAAAGAGAGTTTGTGAATCTAGGCTATATTAGCACTAAATTTATGTATATCAAAGGAAAAATGAGCACAGCTAATGGGCAAACTGTTCTTTAAAAGGTCCTTAAAAGCATTTTTCTGTATCTCAGGGGATTTATAGCCACATAATTTTTTAAGCCTGTCAGGTGCTTTGCATGACCAACAATCTAGTCAAGTTTGCAGCTGGACTGTAAGTCCTTATGATGAGGTAGTAATAATGTTGCATTATTTCTTAAATATGACTTAAAATGTTTAAAGTAATTTAAAATTTAAGTTAACTGACTTTTCCAAAAGCATCAGCTATGGAAGGATAGGTGAGACTTGCAACATATTCTCTGTGATATTACTTAATTTGATTAAATTGAAGCCAAATGGCTTTCATTGTTCTGTGACTTTCAGGTGTGTTGGAATTTTCCTGGTGGCTGTATGTGTGTTCTAGGGGTGGAATCAGCCTGACATTGGATTTTTTAGCATTGGATGGTTTATAGGATCTAATTAAACTTTTAAGGTTCTTAAGATTTGACAGAGAAATATAAAAAGGTGCCTTGTAGTTCACAGGAGAAGCACTGTACGATAGCAGGTGTTGGGTGGGTAGTTGTGCTGCGTGATACAGAAGGGACAACTGAAATGCACACTTGTTACTTTATGCAAAAGAGGGACAGGTCCCCAGCACAGGAAGGACACTGAGCTGTTGGATTGAGTCCAGAGGAGGCCACCAAGTGATCAGAGGGATGGAGCACCTCTGCTATGAGGTAAGGCTGTTTAGCCTGGAGAAGAGGTGGATTTGGGGTGACCTAATTGCAGCCTTCCAGTGCCTAAAGGGAGCGTACAAGAAAGATGGAGAGGGACTTTTTACAAGAGTGTGGAGTGACAGAACAAGGGGAAATGGCTTCAAACTGAAAAAGTGCAGGTTTAGATATATTAGAAAAAAAATCTTTACTGGGAGGGTGGTGAGGCCCCGGTGCAGGTTTCCCAGAGAAGCTGTGGATGCCCCATCCCTGGAAGTGTTTAAGGCCAGATTGGATGGGGCTTTGAACAACCTGGTCTAGTGGGAGGTGTCCTTGCCCACAGCAGAGGGGTTTGAACTAGATCATCTTTAAGGTTCATTCCAACCCAAACTATTTTATGATTCTAAGAGCTGGAGAAAACCTCATGTGGTATCATGGCCAGACCTTCATGATTTTTCTACTTGGAAGATAAGCTCCTGATGATTAACAAGGAGTAGTCTAAGGACTGGAAGTACAGTCATTTAGTAGCAATTATGCACAGTTTAATGAGCCAACCCTTGCTGACTGTTACTATTGTGAATTCTGTACAAGTCAGTTAAAGAATTTGTTTTTAATTGAACCAGAAGTTGAATACATTGAATTTAGAGATGACCTATTAAAAAAATGGGGAAATATTTGAGATAATCAGTTGCTTCTTTAATAAGAAAGGAAGAGATCTCCAGAAGGAAAAACAGTTGACAGTGCGAAGGGTCAAGCATTTTCTTAGTATTTTATATGCTTTTCTTAGTATTTTCTTACACTGATAATAAGATAGATGTACATTCCCTTTTGGCAGGAAGATATTACAAAGAGGCTAAAAAAAGTCCAGTGAACTTACTCAGCTTCCTATGAATCATTTGTATCTGGAAAGTAGAACTCGCTTTCTTCACCTAGAGACAAGGGAGTTTTTAACTGTGTGCTCAGGCATATCACAGCTTAGTTGAAGGCTATGTACTTGTTAAAATCAGGAAACAAAACACATCCTTCAGCTGTAATACATAAAGTGAGTAGCTGAATGGAAGCCTTGATGTGCTTTATGAAATTATGACTAGAAAAATTATGACTAGTCAAAGAGGAAAGCTATGGCTGCATTAACCTCAAACAATTGCAGTAGACTTCTTATCTTTAAGAACGTTTGTGTTAGCTGTTTAAAATCAGTTTACAAACAGAATATTCAAATTAAAAAAAAAAAAGAAAGAAATGTATTTTAGAAGAAAAAGCAATTGTAGGTTGAAAACAGCACACTCCTGTTTAAATCCTTAGTAGCTGGACTCTAGGCAAGCCAGCTGGTCTATAATTCTCTCTTAAAACTGGAAATCAAGGGGAGGTGAAAGCTCAGTATCTGAGTTTTTATAAATCCCTATCAAAAAACAAGATCCGTGGCTTATTTTATTACATTTTAGAGAAGAATGAGAGAACAGGGTGTGCTATCCAATGACAGGTAATGGGAGGGGAGCTCTGGGAGGTACTGGTAAGAAGGGAGCAGGCTCTGGGGCAGGATTTACAACAGGAGCATGCTCGACCAGGCCAAGTGGGAAGTATGAAGAGGCAGCTGGCTTGGGCGCTGCTCTGGTACCTCTGACAGCAACACGAATTTGGGAGCAGCAGCGTCTTCCTCATGACCATTTCTAGCAGTGAAAGAGCTGCTGGTAACTTGTCCCACTTGCCCAACTTGTTTTTGGCATCACACACAGAAACTCCCTTTGAGAGAGCCAAAAAAAAAAAGGGATCCAGCTTCTGACATCAGTATTGCAGTAGTTCCACATTCTGGAAATACTAAGCCACTTGTACTTTGGTATGAGTTTGAAGTCTTGGTTCTGATTTTTTTTTTCTGAGTAAAGCCCTCAAGAAAATTAGATTCTCAGGAAATGAGACTCTTCTCAAGGCCATTTTAAAATCTAGAAGGCTTGAGAAGCCTTCTGGGGACACGCGAGGAGACATCTGGTCAACATATTAACAGATAATCTGATAAAAGAAAACATGAGTGTTCCTTGATGACAAAATTACAGAGCTGGGAAAAAAAATCTCCATACTGAAAGGCTGAGTAATAAGCTTCATAATCATGGGGAAAAATACTAACTGTATCACACAGTTGGTTTTAAATTACTCTGACTTTCTCAGTACAGAGATCTGAGAGTTGTTTTGCATATCTGCAAGACCTAAGATCAGTGGGCTATGACAGCCAAAAGGCAAATAGAACATTAACAATTCCTGGGAAAAAAATGGGGGGAAAAATAGACTTATAGTACAGAGCAATTCTATGGCATGCCCTCGTCTTGAATATGATGGTGCTTCGAATGCAGCTCAGAAAGTGTACAATGGAGCTGAGAGACAGAAAGAGGAGAAATAAAAATTAGAATGATCAGAGATACAAAGTGGTTTCTTCAAAAGGGATTAGATAATTCACTTTCCAGGCTGAAAACACCTCAAGATGAGGAATACAGTATCTGTAACCGTGTGAAAGATGAATAGGGAACGAGTAATTGCTGGTTTTGTAAAATCAAAAGTAGTCAGCACTCAGGGAAATAAGATTTAAAGCAAACAGAAACGAAACTCATCTTTATACAGCGCAATTACATTGGGGGGATTCTCACCACAGGATATGGTAGAAACAAACAAAACAGTTCCTAA